GCTTTCCGCGGTTAAGTACGTCCAATACATTTTGCGCCTTCCTTTGTTCTTCAAGACTTCCCGAAGCTACCATAACTTTAAGATATGAACAATCCTGACCCATTAAACTAATGGTTAGGTTAGAAATATATACAAAAAACTAAAACTTACAGCCAACATACGAAAGAGTGAGACCGGCAAATAATCCGCCCAAGAGCACCAAGACAATAGAAAAACTTCGGGTGAGAAGTTGCAAAAGGAAGTGCCGCTGAATCTCTTGCTCGATTAATTATGTCTTTACTACGCCTTCTTGAATGAGCATTCTGTCTCGTGCGTCAGTTCTCCGTGAAAATTTATAGTAGCGAACAGCACAGCACGGCGGCACGCCAATTCGATATAACTCACCTCAACAACCAAAACTCGCAACCTTCCCTTGTAAATTGGCTACCGATGGCATAAGGAATGTAGTACAAGAGTAGATTACAAGCATGAATGAACCTCCAAGTATGAATACTGGTTTCACGCCTGCTTTTGTTAGGTGTGTGCCCCTCTTCCCCCAACATATCGAGTTCGGCCCAGTGGTCATGGGCTCACTCAATGCAGCGCTCTATCCACTTTTGGGATCTTCTCAAAAGGGCAATCCGTCGCATACGGCTGGGGCATATTTGTTTCTCTACAGTATTCTACATACAGACACACACAGCGGAAGAATGACCCGCATAGAGCTTGGCGGAATACTGTGGATCAAAACTTCGATCCTGCGCACTAAACTTGAGATGAAAGTAGCAGCAATCACGGATGTCTAATCTGAGCTTGAATCAAACAAGCATGCTTAAGGGATCAAGGGTAACCTCGAGTTTTGTTAAGAGCCCTCCAGCTATCCAAACTTCAGATAGTCTCATGTCAGTCAACTACACATAAGATTTATCCCATGAGAAATATCCATGTACCATCTCAATGAGTGTGTCTTCAAAGGGGATTGTTTCCATTTTTGGTCTTGTCCGTACTGTGGGGTTGAGGCCATCAAAATGCCTCATACCTTATTAAGTCGGTGGCAGTGCTGCGCCCTGACAGCGGTATGTCAACATATGCCTCATAACAAAATGAGGTATTAACGCATCAGCACACCAACAGCCCAAATGCGGGGTAAGGCCTTGAAAATGGTGGTGTCTGTCGAAAGGAGAAAAGTCACAGTTCTGGAAGCTCACAAATGATAATAAGCGAGGGTGTCACGCTCGACGACGGGGAGCAATTCACACAAGTCAACACTCATGGATTATATTACAACACAAGAAATAAAAGAAAGATGCAATAGCACGTCTTCCCAGTCTTCCCAATCTTCTTCTTCGGACTTATCATCGTTGGCGAATTCCTCCGACTCAACGAATATGCCCGCGAAGCAAAATGCTCCCAAGTGGCCGTACGGGTTTGTTGAAGATCAATACCTTCGTGGTTCTGCTAGAGGGCAGACTCAGACGTCACACCGATATCTACAGGCAGAGAAGCGACAATCATGAGTTGGACCTGGAGATCGTTCCAAAGAGGATTTAGTACCGAGTTAATCTATGTGTGCATGAAGGTAAACTGCTTGGTGGAAGTTACTCAAAAACAAAATACTGACTTTGAATTCAGACTATACATTGCCACTTCTCCCTTGTACCATAGCATCGACAGACTTTTCCCCAGTCATGAAATTCGATTATTGCTGGAACAGGGCTTGAGCAAATTGTGTTCAAATGGGAGGGTTCCTGAAGTGAGGAGTTGGTGGAGTTGGTGTTGGAAATCCGTAGTTTTTCAGGCAGTTCATTGGAGTTTGAGATTTAGGAGTGAGGCGAGCACATTTCAGCTTTACATACATTACGACAAGAAATTTCCGAAACGCTGAAATTTGAGATTTTTTTTTGCAAGGAATTGAACCATAACACACTATATTACAGGATAAGTGACCATATTGAATGTCCAACAACATCCATAAAACATACCGTGTAACCATGTCGTACATTCTCCAAGAAAGCCTAATACAAACTACAAAATCTCCTTTCCAGATCACCTCCACCGATCCCTATTAGCTTTTTCATATGCAGCTTGGCTCCTAGCCTTCCATTCACGCTCGATACTCATCCCGTAGCCACCATCTGAGTTGTCTTTGACACCAGTGAAATGCTCCATCTCGACATCCCCAAGTACCCTCTACGTAGTTTCCATTCTTCGAAAACGTCATCGAGTACAAGTGATTATCCTCTCTTAATTGGATGACACCTTCTCCGTCTTCAACTCCACGCCAACGATAGTGGCATGTGGGGTTTTCCTCTGAGGGCCGGTCAGAATCATTCAGGATAAAATCTTCCGGATCGTAACCGTGACCGCCGCCATCTTGTTCGGCCGTGACGAACCTGATCACGCCGTTCCAACCTCCAAACTCAAATCTTCCATATGTCTGATGACCCCTGCGCTGTTCCCGCGAATGTATTTGGATGGTGAGAGGGGTGCCATCAGACCAGTCCTCAAGCGAGCGACAGTTAAGAACCCATTCTCCCGTAATATCCCATGGACCTAGAGTTTCTTCGTCTTCTTCCTCGTCGTCGTCATCGTTCTCGTTTTCATCCTCTTCGCTGTCTTGTTCCTCTGATTCATCGTCTTCATCATCCATGTCTTCATCCTCATTGTCGTCTTGATCGTCCGATTCAACATCTTCGGAATCTGTTTGCTCATCCTCGCGTCCCGAATCATCACGCCGAGGATCTGCCAGATCACGATTTTCAAGCAGCTTCCATGCATCTTTCATTTCCCTTCTGGCTGCGGCAACCTTTCTATCCATCTCCATCATCCCGGATTTACTCAATCTTTCCCTTAAGGCATTAACATCACTGCCTCTTGGCGAGAAACCGCGAAATGCTAATTGTGCCCGCAAAAACTCGATTGGTTGATTTGCCTCGTGATCGATGTCTGATTGCCATCTATATCCTAAGGCTCTGAATCCATCAGACGAATATGTAAAGGGAAAAAGTGTAGTGTTGATGTTGTGAGTAATAGCGTTACCGCCATTGATTTGGGTGACTTGGAAATTGGAAAGGCATGTTCATTGGGTGATTTATTGAAAAATACAAAAGAGGGGGTCAAACATTTTTAGAAAAAGTGTTTATAAGCACTAGTTTGACGCGTCGTAAGTTGGCAGGGAGACGCGATTGTCTGAGCGCGATATCACATGTTTACCAAAATTCCCTCCCGCAGGTGGATCGTAATTGAACATGATTCAACAAATCTTGGTAAAACCACGGAATGAATCATGCTTCGCAATGACAATATTTACACAATATTTACGGATCTATTCGTTAAGCTTCTTGAACGTCGCATACCATCATTGCCGTTACAGTCGCCAAGTTTTCAAGCCAAGAGATGAATCTAATAAAATTGTTTAACCCAATAAAGTCTAAATAATACTCTCTTAAGTATAAAGTTTAAACAACATTTCGACTAACTAGGTATTCCACTATGTTCGTTTGCCGGTCTAAGTAGAATACTACTGTATTTATTGGTTTATAAGATAATATATTACATGTAAAAAGTCTGTCCAGGGACCAATATGAACCTTATACGCTAAAAAAAAGTAATATCTTAATTATTAATTTTGCCCTACTTTTTTCAGGGTTTATATACCCCCGCTACTCCTAGCTTTTATTTTACCCCCAACCTTATCTAATCTTCTAATTATTTAAGCTTATTCTATTATGATTTAGGTATATTTTTATAGGGAGAATAAGACGTGGAATAGGTCCTAAAATCGTTCCAAGAAGTAGCTATAGGATGTTAGTAATAGATTAAGCAAGTGATAGGAGGGCAAATAGGAATAGTTTTAAAGAAAAATATCCTACTTTTTTATATACTAATTGTTAAATATACTTTTGTAAGTTTAGCTCTAAAATCCCGAGTCTTTTAGAGTATGTAGTAGTACTAAAATAAGTATAGAATGCTTAGGGCCTGTTTAGCTCGCACATTTTTTAAATATACGCCATATAAAAAGATTTACATGCATATACTAATGTGCATACATATTAGTATATACGAGGGTGTTTAGTTAGCCGCATATCTAATTATAAATTCATCATAAATTAGATACATATCTATCTACACTTCTTTTTAGATATACACTACTAAAATAAAGACATAAAAGATATAAGACCTAAAACTCCAACGATTTCTTCTATACGCTCGTATATTATTTGATTTTACGTACTTCTACGTCTACCTAGTGTCCCCTCTAGTATCCCACTCTACAGAGCTCTACCCCCTTCCCCCCTCTTTCCTTCTCTATATTATTATAGTACCCTTACCGTAAGCTCCCCCCTCCACCACCCCCTATATCACGTCTTTACGTTACCCTCGATACGTAGAACATATCCTATAGAAGGGAGCCATTTCTTTATTATATTAGTACCTTCCCCTACTATCCGCTAGGAGGGGGCCCGGGGCAGGGCAAAGAATGAGGGGGGTAAAAGGTTATATAGCGTAAAATCGAAGGATACCTAGATATATAACGAAACAAAAAAAACTTATACGACAAGCTAAACAATAGTACATTTGTTTCGTTAGATTAGTACAAATTATATATAAAACCAGAAAGATATACACGGGGTCTTAGGGTCATAGAAAAAGTAGTAAAGTTTAGAATTTATATCTAATATATACGCCTAACTTATACAAGCTAAACAGGCCCTTAATATAAAAGTATCGATTTTGGATTCTAGCTCCTTAATTAGTCAGAATTATAAAATGCTAATCCTACGAACTTTTAGAACCATATATGATATACGCATGTTATCTTAACAAGGAATGTTATTTTATAATCCAATTAATACGGTACGCCTGGAAACCCTACAACTCATTAGTAGACAATAGGGCCAACACCATCATACAGCCTGTTCTTTTACGAGAAACTGTAAACGTGGCTGGACCTAACCTTTCACTTTCCGCTTATTCACTGCTGATTGAGCTGGTCTTACAGTTGAGCTTGAAAGTCTGAGGCTGTGGCTACGTATTGCCAGTTCATATTTCCGATAATTCAAGATTCCTAGTACATTTTCCACCAATTTCGTAATTCCGATACGAACTCAGCCTTATTTTGAGATGGCTGGGCAAAGAAAACTCCGAAATCGACTAAATAACAAGCTAAGCCTTGAAGATAGCGCAGAGTTTCAAACATGACTACAAATAACGACGTGTAATTACTGCAAATAACGGGCCCCCAATTGATAACCTTATATTGCCAGCTCGTCTAAGGTGGACGGGCACAGAAAACTATTGGTGACAATCACGGGGTGCTATAGCTCGTCAGTATCAATTTCCAAATGACCCAAATACAAGTATAATTGACTTACCATTTTCCAGGATATCTCGGAAAGGGGATACATTCACGCACAGTATGACGATGAAGAATCCAAGCTAGGAATCTCTCAAGACCTAATCCATAACCACCATGAGGAGTGCTTCCATACCTGATTACAAATATTAGCCCCAATCCAAGTATCTCTGAAGCAGAACTCTAACTCACTTCCGTTGATCAGCATAAAATGAATATGATGCCAAATCCCACTTGTTGTTCTTCATGACGGAAAAAAGTTCCTCATAATCCTCAATTCTCATCCCTCCGCCCACAACTTCACCTACGCCTGGAACAAGTACATCAACACTCTCGGTAACTCGAGGATCGGATGCATCTTTCTTCATGTAAAAAGCTTTGAGGTGGACGGGGAAGTGAGTAAGTATGATGGGTTCACCAATTCGATTCGTCATAGCTCTTTCCGCAGCTTCTGCAATATCAACACCAAAAGTGTGCGGTTCTCCTTCATCAGCCATGATACCGTGTTCGTTGAGCCATTCAATTGCTTCGGAGTATCTCATGCGCGTAAATGGACGGGCTGGGCTTTTGAAAGCAGGGTGGAGGGTCTGAATGTATGCCGCGCTTTCTGGATCCGCCAGTAACATATCGATGACACCACATATAACATTCTCAATATGTTGCAACAGATCTTCGAATACAATAAAATCAAGCTCTGCTTCAACGTGAGTGTACTCCGACAAATGAAGTCGGGTATGAGCGTTCTCAGCTCGAAACGATGATTGAATGGCGTAGCAATCCCCAAGAATGGGAAGTTGTGTCTCGAGATACAGTTGTGACGTCTGCGTCAGGTACGCAGTCTGACCATAGTATTGAAGACTAAAGAGCGAACCTCCTCCAACTTGAGTTTGGACGAAAGATGGAGCCGTGGACTCTCTCATGTCATGGGCTTTGTAGTATTGTCGGAAGGTATCTAAAGCTGCAGCACGTGACTTCATAACAGTTGCCTCTTCTGGTCTTCGCAGAACAAGGTGCCGGAAATCTGGTAGCGTTGCCTGGTTGGCAGACTCGGGGACTACGTTGCTGAAAGCTTCTGATCCACCGGGTGCTTTTCCAATGGTTGAATAAAAGTCGACGTGTAATTCCCTGTCTCCTGGGGCTTTGTTTTTCGGTGGAACTTCTCTCATCTCTCCGTAGACTTCTAGTGTCGCTTGTTTTTGAAGTGAGATTCTAGCGGTCTCATTTTGCTGATCAGAAAATACACATAAGAGGGTCGCGCGGGTGTCTGCGAGATAGACGAATGTAAATGCCTTGGTGGTCCGGATGTTTTCAATGCGTCCAATGACTTTCACCCGAGTCCCAGTTATGTTTTCGTTGCCCAAAATGATTTCACTAGTTTCACTGTCCGATATCTTCATTTTTATGGCAGCAGGAAGACTTTCGTCTTGTTCAGTGTCAGTCTTCGTCTCATCCATCATTGGAACTTGTCTGGCTGCCATGATCGTCGTCGAGCTTTGCAAATTATTACGATATAACAAGAAAGTTGAAAAAAGGAACGGAATTGTGACTGATATATGGAGGGATTCAAAGGCTGAGTCACCTTGATCTTTTCTTTCGGTCTGACCCACAACAGGGGGTGGTTAGTGAAAGGTAGAAGCTGGACTACAAGCATCACATTTATTGGAAAATTGAACAGAAATAAGCGAGGAAAGAAAATAGTTAAGTATGTCTTTTGAATTTTCCAGCTGCGCGATAACGACGAGGAAGGTATCGTGAGCTGTTCGATGAGGTCAAATTGAGAAGTTTTCCAAGAGGCATGAACCTTCGGAGCTGAGTATACCTTGAATTGCAATAATGACTTAACAGCATGTCCGAGATATCTTAGGTTCTTACCCAGTAAAAATAATGGTGAAGTACTATGTATTCAGTTTCTTGACTATTGAAATGTCCAAACATATCCAGACACAACCCTACACCTTAAACTCTGGAACAAGAATACAAGGTAAATATTGTTTAATTTAAATACCTTATAGTTTTACAACTTGAGTGATATATTGCAAACATCGACTCAAGTAAGTTGGAGAAGAAGTTGGGTCAAATTAGTTTCAAGTAAAGTGTTTCATCTTCTCCCGGGCAGATGTATAGTTAATTTATACTAACCAACCTTCTTCCTTTCCGCAGTTCAGTGGCATGTTAAGTCAAAACGGCAATCACTTGGTGCAAAACACCAGTGAGAGAAAAAACTTGATAAATATTCATGAAAATGACATCGCTGGTCTATACTTGTATACATCTATGTTTATCCTTAAACCCATTCATGCAAAGCTTTCTAAGCAAAAGTAGCGCAATCTATATCCTTTCATTCCTTACTCCTCCCGCAAGTAGCCCTGTAGTCGAAGTGAAGCATGAAATGCCAAAAGTTTTGAGTTGTCCATCTCGAGGCGTACTTCCCAACACAAGTGGATGTCGTATTGTCCCCTTTTAAAATCCCACCATGCTTCAACTTTTTACCCGTTCTTCAGGAAGAGATCGCTCAACCTTAGAGACCACCACACCAAACTTGGCTCGACCATCCGCTCATCTTGACTCCATTTCCTTGACCCAAAGAAGTCTACCTCAATGACCTTTATTCTCAAACATCCTTCTCCCTCTAACCATCCCACCCACTCTCTCGTCCCCGAAGGTCGCTTTGTTCGCACCGCTCATTCCAACCCCCTTGACAATCATCTCCTTCAATCCAAAGATGACGAAAACAAAAAGTGCGTAGCTCAGTGCACAGAGTATGAACATGAAGATTGCGGTACTGATCTCCTTTACTTTTTTCGGAGTTTGTTGGGAGGGGTTGGAGAGTTTGGAGGCTTTGGAGGCGTACATTTTGGCGTTGATGCGTAAAGACTTGAGGGATTGATTGTTGTAGCTAAGATGTGGGGAGTGCGATTTATCTTCCTGCTAATGTACGGTTGTCGTAGTTGTTGAGATTTCCGAATCCTGCGGATGGGTCTTGTATACTCTTTCGTTTTTCAAAAACGCTGGTATTCTTTCCCGTTCTCTTTCTCTTCTCTCTTGGAAAAATAAATTGTAGAAAGATAATTTTCGTGGTCGTCCTGGCCGTTATCAATGTGCCTCCCTAGGGTCCTCGGGGTCCTCGAACGCGCGTTTCAAATCCTTCCAAATCCCACACAAAACAACCAAGGAAGATCCGAAGCATAAAAATCCAAGGAACGTTTGAACAAATGAATTTCAACAGGAAGCGCAAATCACCAACAATTCATAAGAAAAGTGATAAGAGAGGCAAGAGGCCCTTCTTATCCTCCTTCCCTTCAGCCCCTTCCTACCCCTCCATCCAATCTGTTCATCCCAATAAGTCTGAAATAGGAATGCGTCTAGCCTTTCCCCTTGATGCATGGATACGTATCCACGGTGAGCCGGGAAATTAGGGGTGCGATGGAGCGTGTAGGAGTCTTGATTGGAGGGATCTCCAACGGGAAACAAATTTCTGTTTCTGGTTGGTTGAATCACGACTCGTATTTGATTCAAGGTGGTTCTGTCTGCTTCAGGGGAAAGGGTCCGACGATTACCTGGTACCGCAGGATCTGGGCGGTGAGTTTGTGACAGGAGCTGACGACTGCACGGAGAGTCGGGGACTTTGAAATTATCTTTCAGCACCGTAAATCTGTCTTACTTTGTATTTGCGAAGAATCCATCCCGTCCTCTGGATTTTGGGTTCCTTATTTAGCTACATTGCCATTGTCATCCGCGCATATACGAGTAGATCCTCCCGACGCACGGGGTAACCGTATACAGTATACTTTCTTGCCTCATGCGTACGGATGCAAGAACAAACCGATGTGCTTGAAGCGAAAGTAACAATGTAAAGTTTCTATAGCAAAGCGGAGCCCATTCACTACAACAATTCATAGAGCTGGCCCTGCAGGTACTTCTATGTAGACAAATTTGATTCGTCAAATTTCATTGTCTCTACATCTTTGCAGAACGTTATTAAATGAATTTTCTTTAGATGAGTATCAATGTATATACATGTACCGCTATTCTCTCAATAATTTTTTACGTGGATAAATACAAGATTCGGTTTAGTAAAGGAGATTGATAGAAGATATACCTCTCTTCAACAGCAGTTTGCAACTAGAACCGAAGATTTGGAACCATTACAGTACCGGTTTACACGGTGGGTTCAGATAGACATAGCCGAATGCAGATACGGGTACGATACTTTATCTGATGAAAGGACGTGACGGAATGGTGCTATCGTCGTTTTAGCTCATTAAGCGTCGAACCGTTAGAGGCAAAATACAAAGTCAACGGCTTGATGTGATTCTAGAAGCCTGAATGAATGGAATGTGCAAGTCAATGCTTGTATTTTAGGAATACTCGGGATTCTATGCAAACGCAGACACTTTCACAGTCTTTCCAGCCGACGCACTCTCCTTGGCTGCCTCAATGATCTTCAAAACATCTCGTGCTTCAGTTGCCTTGACTGGCACAGCATCGAATCCACCTCCTTCAATTGCACTCGCAAATCTTGAGTAGAGAGTACCATAAGTGAGGGGTGCAATGTTGGCATGCGTGCGCTCCTTTGGCTGTTCTCCATCCATGACAACCAAGGTACCTGAACTTTCGGCACTCTCAACGCCAAATCCGGCATCGCCTGGCTTCTGACCAGCCTTCAATTGATCCTCTTGGACATCGAGGTGGAATTTCTTGAAGCTGCCCTTGGCACCTCGAACCCAGTATCGTAGTTGTTTGGTTTCCACAGACATAACACCCGCCTTCACGGTAACAAGTGGTCCATTGTTTGCGTAATGTAGCAAGACAGTAATACTGTCTGGTTCCGGGTGGCCGTCGTTTCTCTGGTTTGCGAAAAAGGCTGTAACACTTGCAGGCATACCGAAAAGCACATACGATTGATCAATCAAGTGTGTCCCCAGATCATATAGAACACCACCAGCTTGGTCCATTCCCAAAGTTCCCTTCCAGGAATCAGGACGAACAGCCTTGTATCGATCAAAGTGAGTATTGAATTCTACACATCTTCCAAATGTGCCGTCATCCAACAACTTTTTGACCGTGAGGAAATCCGAATCCCATCTTCGGTTTTGGTACACACAAATCAGCTTTCCTGTCTTTGCGGATAGCTCAACCAAAGTTTGTGCCTCAGCGCTTGTTGGAACAAATGGCTTTTCCACCATGACATGTTTGCCTGCTTCAATAGCCGCTTTTGTAAAGGAGAAGTGGGTTTCGGGAGTTGTAGTAATGGCAATTATGTCGAGTGAAGAATCGGCAAACATTTCCTCGGCACTGTGGTATATTTTGGCACCCGGATGATCTTTGGAGGCATCATCGTCGGGCTTAGGAGTACGTTGTACGATGGCATGAAGCTTGAACTGAGGGGTAGCTTGGACTAGAGGAATATGGAAGACCTTCGCAGACATGCTATATCGCAAGGTTAGTTTTCTGCTCCCAAACTTGATAGTGGTGGGGTAAAAGGGCTCCTTTCACTCACCCATATCCGATCACACCAACATTGTAGCTCTTGCCTGCCATTGTTAATATGCTTGCTTTCAGATGCGTTCTGATGAAGTGTGAAGTTAAGATGTAGGAGAGATGAAGAGAAAGAGAGGAAAGATGGAGAGAGGGGAAACAAGTTGGAAAAGTTGGCTACGAGTCCATCATTAGTAATGAGGGGGAGGGGATCCGTAGACCAGGTTTGGTGGGGTGAGGCTTGAAGAAGTGGGAGGGTGTGGAGGTGGAGGGTTGGATTGTTGAAACTGCACATTGTGTATCCATTTTCTTGCATTTTCTGGGGAAGCAACATTAGTTGGAACATTGAAGATGAAGAGAAAATAGAAAATCATGCGAAGGAGATACCATGTTGGGTAGTGATGGAGTTCTGAGAGGTGGCTACTCTAGAGTTTCGAGACGGTGCGACGGTACTCGTATGGAGTGATCTGAGAACGTTACGGGAGAACCTCGGATTTACTTCAGTACGGATTAGTGCCTGAGACCACCTTGATAAAAATAACGCCACACAAAATTGGGTATCTCTTCATGGATTTTTCTATTCAGCTCTACACGGTTTTGAACAACACAACAGACCTCGGGACCAACGCTCATCGGGTCATGTGACCCCTTTATAAATACTGTACGGTGTTGTTGCGGAGGTGACTGTAACATATAACTGCCGCTCATTCGTTCAGGGCAGCAGCGTCCAAAGCTTCTCGAGTAAATACGGCTGGGATCAAAACATGCATAACAAAACGTGAGAAATAGCCCCAGATATTGCACACTCGAGAGTTTGATGTCGGAAAATACATCGTTTAAAAGAGGTCGTAGGTTCCGCGCAGAACTTCAAGAGTCCGTGAAACAATAGCAGCTAATTCTATCCAGTTGAGTTCAAGCCTTGAACTTCAAGGAGACAAGATAGTGACATAATGTTTCATGTCATCTTCCATAAGTAAGTGTTTAGAAGGGATCCTTTTGTGCCAAGTTTGAACAATTGCAAACTTTTACTATTTTGTATAGCGTAGCAGTTTGTTTATATACTTTCGCATAGCACAGATGACGCTCCAATTCTTAAGTGGCCCGCTTAAGCATACAGTATTTTTACTGTAGAACACCAACGTTTTCCAGCAATCTTCGACTATTCTGACGCCTCCAGTATACCTTCCGAAGCTGAAAAAACCATGGCTACCCGCCATCCGCTAAAAGCCAACTCGTTGGACTCACGCGACATGTTCCTGAAATATTCTACTTGTTTGGAGACTCCAGTATCTCTTTCGCATAAGACAATTCCGACTCGTCCAACTAGAACCAAACTGGCTACATCCATGCAGACTATTATAGAGCTGGATAATATATTGGGAGACATCGACGAAGAATATGAAGGATTTTTCGGCGAAAAATCAGGAGAATCGCCAAGAGCACATTTTCTTGCTGCTGTAAAAGTCTTTGATACACGAAGTCAACTCGCAAAATCATTGCTGGTTTGAACAGAAGAGATGGGAGAAGTTTCCCATACATGCCCTCACGGCAATACTCTTTCAATACTAACTCCGACCAGAATCCTCGGACCTAGTCCGCCATCCCGTCAAATTCGCTTGAATCAAAATCTGCAGTACATCTCGCCAAAATCCATGCGAAGATACTTCCGTATCGTACCAAGACTCTGTCGAATGCTTCTTATCAAGAGAACCCTCTGCGATGACGAATACCGGACGAAGCATATGTTGGGCTCAGCCTTTTGAAGCTACAGTGATAAGCCTCCGGTACAGCCAGCCGATTTGAACTATAATTTTCGCGGAATCTAGACGAAACGAAATATTCAGACGATAATTAGGACCGACGATGCGTGTTCAAACCTCTCATCTCATCCACCTCCGAGAGTTCTCCATAAAAAGAGCCGATTGCAGATTCGGAGTTTTCTTGACCACCGGGCAAACGGGAAGTAAGGAAGAATCATATCACGTTGATAAATGGCGAACTCCAGCTGGAAATCACTTAATTTCCATCCACGCCGCCAAATTCTACTCTAGCTTCATACTTTAAAGTTATTTCTTTTTGTCTAGCTCTTGGTCTCATGTGCTTTGTAGCGAGTCATCGCAGCTCAAAGAGATGGGACGAAAATGAGACATTGTTCGCTTAACATCCCAGTCACCGAATTGGACTGACGATTCGACTCCTGACGATGGTCTGCGAAACCAGTGGTGTCGCAAACCATTTGGCGCCTTACTTTGAATTGAAATGCACTCTAGAAGGGCTAATACGGGTTTTCACTAGGAGTGGCGCTTAAGAAGACATTTGATAGTGATGCAGCTCTTCACTCCCGTCGGATGAGTGGCTCAATAGTCATTGAGATATTCACCTTCACAGCTTGGAATATCCAAGTAAGTGTCATCTATAAGACCCACGATACTCTTAAACTACATGGAATTTGCCAACTCGTTTTCCAAGCTTGGGCACCGACGTGTCTTTCAGGCGCTGTGATGGTCGTTCTTTCCTTGTTGGCTTACCCCGGGTTCTAGAACCCTCCCGATCCCTACACAAAAATTTACAATAAACTAACATGGCGAGAATCATTTTCTGCCTAGTGGTTTTTGCTTACTGGCCCGCGAAGACCATCTGATGTTGAAGAGACCCAGGCGCCGCTGCAGACGCACTGCGAGAAGGTCTTTGTGATGTTTCTCGACGGCCCTGCGCTCGAAAGGTCCTCTAAGGCTCTGCAGAAATCGGAAGACACTCTTCAAGATTATGCGTTTTGGCAACATTTTGATGACGATATCAAGGCGCTCTATGAGGTTCTTCTCGAACTCACCCCAGCGTTGCAATACTTGAAGGCAACTCTTGCGCAAGAGGTGGATTGGGATGTCAGAGATGCGACTGTCAAAAGTCTGGAATCTCACAGAAAGGTCGTCAGTCAACTTCCGTCACGCCTCCACCAAATCAGATCTGAGGACATTTATCTACTACCCGAAAGATCAAGTTCTTCCCTACGGATTTTTGAAGATCGGGAGAAACATATTGATACATTTCGGACCCGAACACGACGGAAGCTTCACAAAAACGTTCTGGAATTTCGGCAGACCGTCCCCTCAGTGTTGGAGGACCTGGACCTGTGAGTAATGTCCCTCTTTTTTCGGATGCCATTTAACAACCCGGCAGGGCTATTCACATCTTCGAAAAAAAATTGCTGAAAAGTCATCTTGAACAATGGCCTAATAACCAAGAAGCTCTACCCATGTTGAAGCTTCCTCCCTTGCAGAGCTCAGGACGTTTGAAAACATGCAATCAATGCTCAAAGATATTTGAGTTACGTGAATTATGGCCCATAAACGACAGGTTGAATCCTTTTCAACCGAGCATTTCTTTCAAGACGGATCCATTGAAGCTCTTTGATTCTGCTGCTCGAGGATGCCATTTTTGTCGACTTCAAATTACCAGACTTCTGGATCTAGGTCCGGCTATTGCGGATATTAAGATGGCTCATGTGACTTGGTGGAAGTATTGGGTTCCAGGTGGAGAAGGCGAGGACGAGGGAGATGAAGAGGGAGAGAACTCATTCTGTAGGGACTTTAGAATTCGCTATATGTCCAGGCGCTGGACTACGATTTGCTGGGATTATTTTGTTACCAGGACGCTCGCAAAAGAGGACAAGGGTATGTTGAAGATGATGATTGTCCTTTCTTTACTAACATTAGGCAGTTCGCCTTATTGCATCTTCCACGGATTCAAGAACTAGTATGGCCCTGGCCAGAACATGGATTAGGAACTGTGTAAACAACCATGAAAATTGCCACCAGAATCCGTCTAAAAGTCTAAGGCGCCCGACACGATTGATATTCCTAGGGATAGCGGCGACTACAGTAGAGCCGCGACTGGTTGAAGAGAAGAATATTGGCATGAATGTTAGATATATGACCTTGTCTCACCGATGGAACAAACAACACCCCGCGAAACTCTCAACTACAAATTACACCGGGCTTATTCAAAGAATACCCATGAATCCTTTACCGAGAGTCTTTCTAGACGCAATGATGATTGCTCGGCGACTTGGAATCTTCTATCTCTGGATTGATAGTTTGTGTATCATGCAAGATTCTCTTGAAGATTGGCAAAGGGAATCTTCGCACATGGGAGATATCTATGCAGGATCATGGTGCAACATATCGGCTATGAATGGCCAGGATAATCTCCACGTTGAAAGGAACCCCCTCGAAATTCAAGGCTGTTTGTTCAAAGACAAAACAGCAAATACTACCTTCCAAGTACGCGCTCATGACGAAGGTTTTCGACAATGGAACCAGTCAATAACAAAATCACCATTAATGAAAAGGGGCTGGGTCTTACAAGAGCTTTCAGTAGCACCACGAACTCTTCATTTTGGTCTCGACAGCGTCTTCTTCCAATGCAAAACACAAAAAGCCTCAGAAGCATCGCCCACAAATTTAGACATAACAGTCAAACGCTACCAACCCGCACCTCTGTCACTGACTCTTCCTTTCAAACAACACTGGGGACCACCAGGGTGGGCAGAACTAATCCACCAATATACACGCCGCACCCTGACCTTCCCAGAGAAAGACAAACTCGTTGCAATTTCGGGTTTAGCACAGAATCACGGTCCCTCGGAACAATACCTCGCCGGTCTCTGGAAGAAAGATATTATTTTCCAACTTCCATGGCGAGTCCTCCACGATCCCGACCTCAGTTCTCCCCAATCAAACGACCAAACACCAACCTGGACCTGGGCCTCCACAAACCACTCCGTTCTCTCAAATTCACACCCAGAATCTAAACCCCTCACTCTACACCCCCTCGCCACCTTCCTGCGCGCAGAAATGATACCCGTTTCCGAAGATGCCTACGGACAAATCTCCAAAGGAACATTATACCTAGAAGCACCCCTCATAGTAGTCTCCTTTGAGCCTCTGACACCCAACGCCTACACAGCCCGCTGGTACCGCGGAGGCGCCCTCTCCCTCCCCATCTTCTCCGCCTCACTGTCCAGTTCCACCCGCTCAATATCCTTCGACTCTCTCCCCAATCCCCCCCTTACTCCCTCCTCTACACACCCTCCCCAAGACCCTCCACCTCCCACCCCTTCGACTTCCCCAAAATCCCAACCACAATCTCAAGACCAAGAAATCAAAGACAAACAAGANTCCTCTACACACCCTCCCCAAGACCCTCCACCTCCCACCCCTTCGACTTCCCCAAAATCCCAACCACAATCTCAAGACCAAGAAATCAAAGACAAACAAGACCAAACACCAACCTACCTCCTCCCACTCTACTACCACCTCTCCCGCACCACCAAGCGCAAAACCGGTCTCCAAGCCCTCATTGTGCAGCCCACCGGTCTCCACGAACGGGAGTTCGTCCGAAAAGGGGTTGTGTATATTGAAGGGACGTGGTGGGTGGCGAATCTGGGGAGGTGTTGTAGGGATTTTCTGGGGGCGGTGGAAGGGGAGATTTATGAGGGGTTGGTGGGGGAACGGGAGGATTTTCCGCTTTATGAGGTGGTTCTTGTTTAGTGTTGAATGTTTGGTTTGGAAGGAGTTGGGCTGTGGGAGGAGTTGGTTTGAGGTGTGGGGGTGGAGGGTGAATTGGCGTTTGGGGGGTTGAGAGGGTTGGGATGGAAGACATTAGATTGGTTTTCGATCTCTTGAGGCTTTCCGTTTTATTTGTAGGCTATGGTGGTGAGGTGTTTGGGTGGAGGGTGAATTGGCGTTTGGGGGTTGGGGGTTGGGGGTTGAGGGTTGGGATGGAAGACATTAGATTGGTTTTCGATTTTCTAAGGCTTTCCGTTTCTTTTATAGGTATGGTTTTAGAATAAGAAGTTAGTAGATTTAATAAACGTAATAAATATAGGTGTAAGTCCAAAAAATAGGGGGTTATAGACTGATGATCGATTAAACGTGATTAACTGGTTAGCGAGCATTAGTTAAGCGAGATCGAGGGGGTTACTCACGGGCTATTCTTCTGTTACATAAGGGTAGAGGGGGGAGATAAAATAGTTCTGTCTATGGATGTTGGAGTTGATGTATCAATAGGTAGGTAGGTGGGAATATGATTCGTAAGAATGGCAATTGGGGGTTTGTATACTGATATTATTGAAATTGTAAATATAAATATAAACATGATAGCGATTTCAGAAGTACTGTACAGTTACCATACCATATCAAACATCCTTCATCTTCCAATCACCAGTATATAGTGTAGTATATAGTAATACACCACCCAGATTCTTTTCTTGAAGGTATTTTGTTTTGTTTTTTGTTTTTGTTGTGTTATGTGAGGAGAGGAGAGAAGGGAGTGTGAGTTTATTGGTATTAGAGTAGAGATAGTTGAAGGATCGGAGGTGAGTGGTGAGGTGAGAAATCAAAGGAAATGGGGAAGGAAAAGTTGGGGGAATTAAAGATAAGTGAATCTTACTCACCGTGGGACGCCACGTTTCTCTTCCCTTGGATTTGATTGAAATCTGAAGATCAAGTAAATCACAAGTTCAATGTGAAAGTACAGTAACTGCGATGATCGTAATTCATACCAGGTATCAGTGGAATTTATCCTACATCGATACAGCACATTTTTTTCTTAACTAACAATCCCCCTCGCCCTCCTAGCCTCCTCCTCCTTCTTCCCCTCCACCCTCGCCAAAAACTCCTGTCTCTCCCTATAAGCCCCCCTACTCTTCCCCGCCTTATCCAACTCCTCCCCAATCCCCTCCTTATCCACAAAGCCCGCCCAATCCATCGCGCTCTTCTCAACCGTATTAAGTTTCTTCTCCTTACCCATACTCTCCACCCTCTCCTCCTCCTTCCTCACCCCTAGATTCAGATCCGTGCGAATAGGCAAGTCAACCTGCGGTTCGAAGATCGAGCGTCTTGCCTTCTTCGGCGCTCGCTTGGGGGGAGATGTGGGAGTAGGAGTAGGAGAATCGACAGGTTGGGAGGCGAGGAAGAGTCTCGCTTCGGCGGAGGACTTGGGGACGAGTTTTTGTTCGTGGTGTAGTTTGCCGGCGAAGTGGTAGCTGCGTTTTATGAGGATCATGGAGTGGGGTCCGTCGTTTATGGTGCTTGGTGAACGAAGATTCCTTTCTTTGACGGCGGGAGAAATGTTTGTGCGCTTTAATTCTGGGCCGTTGGAGGCTTTGGGGGAGCTGGGTTGGGGTTGGGTGGTGGGGTCTGTGAGGGGTTTGCCGGATATCATGGAGGCCCAGAGGGCATCGACGTCGACTGTGGATTTGGATGTGTCTTGGAGGGCTACTTTTTTCTCTGTTTTTCTGTTTGCGTAGTATGTTAGCAGATTTGTATATAGACGAAGGGGGAAATATGTACTCAGCAGCCCTCATACTCCTCGTCTTAACCAACCCACCTTCCCCTCCTTCGTCATCTAGTGGCGCTTCATCTTTGCCCTTCTTCCCTTTCCTTTTCTGCCTCTTCAATCCCCTCTCAATAATAGCTTCATCGCCCGAGTTCTCGAATCCCGCATCCTCAGCTTCTTCAGTATCGGTGCCTCTTTTCCGTTTCGTAGGTTTGCTTTTCACCTCTGTAATAACCGGCTCCGCTTCCTCATCTGAAGACTCTTCATCATCTCCTTTCGCAGGCGCTGTATCGGGCGCAAAGTCCGAGTCCTCTTCCGAAGCATATTCCTCATCGTCAGGTATCAATTCAGGTGGCATATCGCAGATAGTGGTGGGATTGGCCTCGTCTGTTGTAGTTGGATTGGTGAAAGATGGTAAGTTTCGATACGCGACAGACAAGGCTGACAATATTCTTTGCGCGTCGGCAAGTCGGCCTTTCGATCCCCCAAGATCTACAGTACCCCTTCCTTGACACACCTCGGTACCTCTTTTCCACTTCCTCCCAGCCTTGCGTCAATGTTTCTGAAATACCCTCTTCAAACAAGGGTCAGAGAGCCATCAATGCTTAACTCTGCATCCGTCCATAAAAAGACCTCGACCCTCCATCCACAATCCCAACTAGGAAGCCCCATTTCCGCAACAGTCGATCATCAGACGTACGTGCCCCATTTCCCCCTCTTCAGAAAAACTTGGAATCTTCTTGCTTGCGATAGCCTCACTTTTTTTTTCCTTCCCCAATGCTCCACCCCACTCGTCAACAATTGTCCTTGCCAATATGACAATCAATATCAAGAGTCCTTATCAAGAGATATGCCGAGTGGAGGTGTTATGCCTCAGGGGTTCACGATCTTTGAAGAGCGAAGCGCGAGGGGGCGATGCGAGGATGGGATTAGGGTCCCCTAGTTTTCACCATTGGACATAGACAGGATTGGGGTGCGAACTAGTAAACTTTGTTTTCTATGCTGCTACAGTAGGTGAGATGGGACGGAGGGTAGTCTGTGTTAGGATATGGGGTATGAATGTTATGGTGAAGTACTTTGTAGAGAGTAAGAGTAGAAGTAACAGTTGTCTTTACACATCTAATTCCTTTCTCTTAGGTTTGCGATTGTGAAGCACAGAAGCATATCACTGCATCGTACTCGGTATCTATGACTATGTAAAGCAAGGAAACCTCCATTATAACAGCCATACCTATAAGTCCCAACAAACAAGTTTACCTACCTACCTCCCTACATCTGGCGGCACACTCGGCGCAAACACATAAAAAAAGAACACGACACCGTCTCGATACCACGCTACGACTATATTTACGGAGTGCATCCCCTCAAGGCTCAATCCAGAAAAGTAGAGAAACAAGGAAATTTTCAGGTACATACAAACCTTCCTGACCGCTCCGCGTGTATACTACCCACACAACTCCACAATGTATGCATGCATGCAAGTACACACCAAGAATCTCGTGCACGCGTACGGTACAGCGTGGGATGTAGGTACGTACCGGCAACTCCCCAGAAAAGAGGGGTACGCTCGGCAAATTCGAAAAAAAAGAAAAGAAAAAAAGAAGATTTACTTACCATCCTTCGTATTGAAGAAAAAGGGCGTTGAAAGCGTGGATTTCCATTGGCTGGCTCAACAGCCCATCCCATCAACAGCGAAAAATCGCCAAGCGATTCGTCATGGACCGGGTGTGCTACAGTACTTCTGTGTGGGGGAGAAGGAGATTATCGTTGCCGGAATCAAGAACCGAACATATCGAGGGATGGATGGGATTCTAGCGGCTGGCTGGCGGCTGGCTGATGAGAGACTTTTGTGTGCGGAGAAAGAATTGGAAGAGGAAAGAGAAGTTGGGGAAGTATGATATATAGAATGTACCTCGAGTAGATGATGGCTCTTCAAGCTTTTTCATTACCACATCGCGCATGCATTTCGAACATAACATAACATCGCATGTTTCTTACTTTTTTCGGAAGATTAATCTTCAGCTCAGTTCAGGTTCCACTCCTTCTTCGAGCACGTGTGGAAGTACGAGTAGACTATACATTACATTACATTACATTACCTACGTACCTTATTCATTCAAACTTCTCAACCACCACAAATCTACAACTCCAAACAAAACAAGCCAAACGACCTCAGAAAGGAGAAATTCCTCTCGCCTCGCCGCGTAATACACGAGTAGTAAGTATATTATTCTGTGCATACACCCAATCCAATACGCCACGAAATGCCCAAAGCCAAATACACCAGTTGTCTCCTAGTTAAGATTCCGTCAGCAAAGCCCAGACCCGCCCACAGCAACGGCCGTTGGAGACATGGACCTTATTTAAGAAGCTGTACCTAGAGGACGCTACAGCCATCTTCGTGGGAGGAAGACGCGCTAGAGAAAGTGCCAAATGACGTGTCAGGATTTTTGGAGGAGATAGGCTTTTTATTTCGTACATATACTGGGGAGGGGGAGGGGCAGGGGAGGGGATCTTGGATGGAGATATTTACGGAAAATGAAAAATGAAAAACAAGGACTTCGTAGAATGTAGATATCGGGATGTACAATATATGTACTTACAGTAGCAAAAAATGAGGCTTAGAAGGAATCGACGAAGTACAGAACCCGTTACGTCCATCGCCATTAAGGTAGACGGCGGAGGCGTTTTCGGAGCATCAAGATAGGATAAGAGAGCTTTGGTATCACCGTGAGAGAACCACCGAATCCTGGGTTTGGCGGGGTTGTACAAGATAACCTGCCCCCCCCTTTCCCCCCCGCTCGGCGACACAAGATCACGGCTTAAAATGGGGTTGTGCTTGGCCTGGGGACGAGGTCAAAAAAACACGAGGGGGGAGCGAAGTCCTTGTACGCTACTGCTGCTGCTGCTGCTGCTTAATATAAGAACAGTTGTTTCATCGGGAGCCTCAACCCCGGGAGAAACTTTGGGAGAAGCTCGCAAGGAATACTTTACGCGGAGAGGGATGAAATTTGCTCGGTGGACGTAGATGAAGGGGGAAGTATAATTTGTCCAATTCCGGAAAAATACTCCTGGGATCCTGGGAGAGATGGGAGGAAACTCGGTCCTGCTGCTACGAGAGATCCGGAGGTTGTTGTTGAAGGATCTTGTACTACCTGCACCATCCACCGAATCCAGGATGGGTAACGCGATTGTTTGTATCGTCGAGCAGGCATCTAGGGTTAACTTTGAAAGGTCGTGGCATATAACCGGGGAGGTTGTTTTTTGTTTATCTAAAGGTAATTTGGGTGGTTTTACAATGATAGATAGATGGACAGCATGTAATGTCACGGGCATGAAGACTTTGGATGCGGCTGCAGCCCAGGTGGTGATCTAGCCAGAGATCATGTGTACAGCGGCTAGAGTTGTGAACTGATGGGGCTTCGGAGTCCAAACCAGCCATTCGGTTTTGGTCCAGTCATCGATCTTTCATACATCGTCCGAGGCTGTCACCGTCTCACTACGAATTTGATGCGGTGCTCACTTTATCAGGAGAGGTTAGTGAGCGGTTGGAGGTGTATGAACCAACTACCCGAGTGACTGCTTAGTATGCGTAGTGACTACCCTACCTATCTTTTCTTGCACATGCCCTTTTACACCGCAGGGCACGCAACTTGTGTTTTGAAAACCTGAAATTTGCATGCGATGCTGCAGCTGTAACTCGGCCATACAACTGCCAGAGCGAGTCACCGCTGTTAGGCCGTGTTGTTGGTGACCATGCATAGCATTGGAACTAAGACCAGGTTGGGTGTTGGGGATGTAATGATACGGTACTCGTAGAAGTACAGTACATTATTCCCCCAAGCTGCCAAAACATCATCATAATCGGTGAGCACGAGACTCCTTGGTGGCAGAATAATAGAACATTATTGCGGCACGGAAAATAGGAATGTCAATCTGGATGGCAACCGTCAAGGTGTAAAGTTCAAAGTGCTTCCTTAGCTAGCCAGGTCCACGTTGAACCCGAAGCCTTCAAAAGTGGTGATGGGGATAGGTCGGCAAATTCTTTTTCCCGCAACGCAGCGCAACCGCCTCACATGCAGGCGGTTGGTTGGACGCGACTCCAACAACAACAAGCAGGAGCTCCCGAGTCTGCAGGAGCAGGAGCAGGAGCAGGAGCAGAAACAGAAACAGAAGCAGAAGAAGCAGAAGCAGAAGCAGAAGCAGAAGCGGTGGACTGTGCACGGCAGTGAAAGTGACAGTTTTGGTCAGAAAGCGGAGGGGAAGCAGGCGAAGTAGAGAGAATTCAAGCAATCGATTTGAGATTGGATGCTGCTGTGGAGGGAAAGCAACAGAGTGGTTGTGGTCGTCTGGTATTTATTCCGATGTTACTGGATGTTACTGGACGAGTATTCTTTCGGTGCTGGTACCATGTTGGCCACTGCTGATTCGGTGCGTCTGTTCTTGTTCCACGCTGGTCCAAAGTACGGAAGAGCTCCGTCATCGACTCCTCATCGCATCGTTTCAGGGGCTTAAAGGTGCATGATGGTTAATTGCCAGCCTCATGCTCTGCTCCGGCGTGTAATAGTATAGAAATCCCTTTCCCCCCTGGATTGTACATGAAAACATCATGAGAGATACATGTACTTTCCTTCTCCAGACAATAATGGAATGGCGGGGAGATGGGTTTCTAAAGAGGCAGGCCGGTACAGGTGCATTGTGGCTCGCTTTTAAAGTAGTGTACTCCGTAGTGAAGGGACGAAGTCTTCCGTACTGTTACTTCGTAGGTTGATGGGCCAGGACCAGGCCCACAGGACAAGCTAGGGACCAACAATGCAGCCCACTGCACCTGCAGCACTCAAGCGTGCATGCGGACGGGCATCGAGTTAGCGATTTCAGCGAGTCGGATGGAGTGAGGGGAAAAGAACCCCTGGAAATTGGCCATAGACGCCTGGAGTAGGTGAGAAGACTACTGTAAGTGCCTCTCAGCACCCAAACGCTGCTGCTACAGGAGAGTACAGAAACGCAACATCAATGCATCTTTATAAGAACAGACAGAAGGAGGGGGAGGAAGAAAAGAGAGGCTCTCGTATATTGACATTCGCCAAGATGACCGAGGGACCAGAAGCGGAGAGGAGAGGAGAGGAGGCAAAATAACCGAGTCGGTAATAGAGTTTTTGGCTTCCTAAAATAAATTGCCTTGGTCCTGGCAGTGAGAGGAGAGTGGAGTGGAATAGTGGGCTTGTGAAATACGGTAGTCGAAGTGTGTAGTGTCGACACCAAGCTCACTCTGCAGGCAGTGCAGAGTCCAGACAGATCACAGAGCTCCATCAAAGCTCCAGCCTCCAGTCTCCAGCCTCCAGCACCAGCACCAGCACCAGCACCAGCTCCAGCTCCCCAGCAATGGTAATTTGGCAGTCCGTAGCCGTAGGAAAGATCCCTAGCCGCGATAGGAGATACTGGGCGGCTTCCGAGTTAAAGCCTACCTGGATCTGGACAGGAGTCACTGTACTCCGTACCTACTCCTAGACCAGACCAGATTGGACTGATACTTCTACTTCTATCTACGAAGTACTTCGAAGTACAGTAGGTGCTGGCCTGGGTACGAGAACTCTGACATGGTCGAAATATAATTGTGTGGCAGTGCTTCGACAATCAGCCAGATTCAGATGAAACCGATTGATTTATATGGAGTCCCATCAAACATGAGACTACGAAGTACTTCGAAGTAAATGCACTAAATCAAGATAAATAGGGGGTTCCCAGACACGCTTGACAGCCAGCGCTTTGCTCCACAGTGTCCACAGTGTCCACTGATCGCAGCCCTGTAGCCTGTCCAGTGTCCACGTAAATTTACTTCACTTTGAAGTACCTAGGTACCCGTAACTACCCAGCCTGTACGGAGTTGAGCAAACCTGAACGGAGTCGCCAACAGCGATGCACCAGTGGCCAGCGAGCACGACCAGGAAAGACCGCCGCCGACCACCCGACCAGGGGGGCCGCTAGCAGGCTAGCAGCGAGCAGCTAGCAGCCAGCCAGCAGCCGGCCAGCAGCTGGGCAGCCTGTAGTGCCGCCTGAGGCAACTCGAGCCCGCCCCAAATGAGACAACCTAATTCTTACTTTTGCAACGCCAACACTGACCTCTCCTCATCTCCTCCATCGACCTGCAAGAGAGGATCACCACCACCACTTCTTCGTCCTCACCCTCCGTATCCCTTCACCCTTCCCATTCGGTTGCCCTTTCCTGTGTCTATCTCCTTTCCTTCGAATCTTCCCCATTTTCAGTGTCTTTCGTTTTCCTCTCCCATCGTCTCGTCTCGTCTCCATCGCCCGTCGCACGCCATTCCCCTGGAAAAACATTCCTCGTTCCATTCCTCCTCACCATTCGCTTCTCCCCCCCCCCCAANAAAAAAAAAAGTCACCCGCCAACCCGTTCTCCTGGCAACCCCTCCCGTCATCGATCGCCAACTCTGAGGTTGTTTATTCTCTGCCTTCATATTTGTCCCGTTTCGGCTTCGGCTCATCGCCAATTCTCCATAGAAGGTTTTGCAGATCGCCCTGCTCACGGTGAAAGTGTGTTGTGCTTGACGCGAGGTACGGACTAAACACCCCCCTCAATCCCAACTACCACTCCCTGGCCGCCGGCGTCCTCGTTTTCGATTCCGTCCATTGTCAACCGTTCACTCGACTTGACTTCTGTACTACACTCTTCGTAATATTTGCTCCTCTAGCACCAATTGTCTAATTGAAGGTTAGTGTTTGGGTCCGCTCCGTGAACCGTCCATCAGCCATCAGCCATTCAACGCGCTAGGAGATATTTCTATCCATCCTAAACATTACACAACCACTCTCTGCCCTACCTGAAGATCCTGCTAACCGCGATTTCTTCTGTCAGTTCTCCTCCCATCAGTGACTAACGTTCACCCCAACCGCCAATTATCCGAATGAGCCTGCAATTTCTCGAGCAAACACCAATCCCCACTTAGATCGACGGTAGGAGATCCAAAGCCACAGCATGGCCGCACTCGTTCAAACATACCCTCAACAGTCCAGTACAGCCACCATGCTTCAGACTCGTCCATCGTCTGCTTCTGGAATAATACAAACAACAGCACAAGCCCCAGCTCACCCATACAATCAAAATCAAAGCGCCTCACAAACAAACCGAAATAACTTTCACGGTATCAATGGTGCAATGGGGGCTTCGAACCATCGTCCACAGGCAACGGTAGCCCCAATTGCTCCTTATGCTTTCACCAGCACTCCCAGCTTGACCACGCCCGGTCAACGATCACCAGCCAACAGCAGAGCTATCTCGGCCCCGGGAGCAGTTCCAACATTAAAAAACGAGTCTGGCAGCCATCCTAGATCTCGCTATCCGGCAGCAGCATCGATATCGACAACATCATCCTCGAGCTCCTCCGACCTGTCGTCTTTGAGCCATCGATCGGGTACGAAGGATGACTCGTCCATCAATACATCCCGCGCTGCTTCTGGTAGTCCACGACCACTTTCTACCGTCATCACTAGTTCTGGAACATCCTCGCCAGTCAAAGCAGCTCCAGAGCGATATCGCAGACCAAGCAATGGCCGCTCCCAATCTGCTACTGTAGGACCTACAATAACTCAACCCCCACTTCCTCAATCCTCCACTCTGCCAAATGTGATGCAGTTCTACAGCACTGCTACCCAAAAACCCGCACCTGTCGCGGCACAGCCTCCAGCGTTGCAAATGCCTTCATTTTCGAACCACATCTTGGATTTTAGTTCAACCATTCGCGGCACCGCTGATGATATACAACTAAATCGAAGCAGTTCCCAGGATCAGGCTGCGAAACGATATCGTCGACGAAGCATTCACACAATTGATGCAGGCGATTTCAATGCCCCAAGTGCAGGATTCCTGCAACAAGGATCGAGACAGAGCAACAGTGCCAGTGGTAGAATTGATCATCAGCCGCCACCACAACATCCTTTACGAAGTTCACCAATTGTCACTGTCCGACCAGCGTCATCGCACGGGAGAAACGGTAGTAGTGATAGCGTTCATTCTTACCGCAGTACCCCTAGTTCTCGACCAGGTTCTGTAAGTAATTCCCTGTAATTGATACGAGTGTTGTTGATCCACATTGTACTTGGGACTTTATCCTACGTCCAATTAGACCGCGTGATGACTTATTTCGCTAATCTCTGTACTTCAGGCCCATAAGCGAGACGGCGTATCTATGGCCAACTCCGCCCCATCATCAGGTGCCGCAGAACAGTCTTCACTCAAGCAGGACTTGTCAAAACTTGTCACAGTTCCAGCTCGTGCCTCATCCTCCGATGCAGCGAAAAGAGTTGCGGTTCCTTCCCCACTGTCGAAGCCGATGACAATGAGCCCCGAGTCCTCGACCCCGGCCTCCAAGGACTCGTTTGCGTCGGCGGTTAATGCGGCTTTGCAGCAACCTGCTAAGCCAACCTATGCGCAGGTCGCCAACTCTGGTAGCCCTGCGGCAAAGCATTTGGCGGCTTTGAATGAGAAGGACGCAAAAAAGAGCAAGAGCTCTCGATTGCGAAGAGCATTTTCATTTGGCAGTGCGGCAGAATTACGTAGAGCATCGGCAGAAAATAGCGCGGCCAACAATGCAGCATCTGCTGCTGAGCGATCAAAGATTCGAAAGGACAAATACCAAGATGAGCAGGATGCAGAGCAGGCGAGGATTGCGGAGCGACAGGAGGCTGGTGGTATTGGGTCTGGGATCTATTCCGGACAAGGAAATTTCTTCAGTGGATCGACTGATAATCTTTCAATATCTTCTACAGCTTCATCTGCATCTGTAATGATCCGAAAGATGGGAAAGGGCATGAAGAAGTCTACTCGATCTCTGGTGGGACTATTCAGACCGAAATCTGTTATTGGCGTTCCCGCAGCAGATAAAGCTGTGCCTCAAGTAAGCCAGGCTCAGGTCTCGATGGTCACAGTTGAAGCCGAGCGAGAGAAGGTCAATGTGAACGCGAATCCACACGACCAAGTTGGTGGCGGAACTGCTTATCCTCGACTTGAAAGAAACTCGGTCGATGCGGGTCCTTCAGTTCCAGAGAGACTGGGTAGTTCTTCTACAGAGAACTCAGCTGCTCGAAGAAGTATCGTGGGCGGTGAGAAGGAAAGAGCGGAGGTACTTGCTGCTGCAAAGAAAGGCATCTTGAAACGTAGGTTGTCGATTTCCTAACACTTGACCATTATTGACCTCAACTACAGGCACAGGCACTGAATCTGGTAATTCGTCGCCCGTCATTCGTCCACTAGATCAGAAGTCACCAAACTTCCAATTACCACAAATCCCAAACGTCAATGAATCGCCAAATTCTTCGGCGCCCTCCACCCCAAGCGAGGAACAGCAAGCCCAGCGCCCAACCGGTTCTGTAACCCTCGGAGGCGAAGACTATTTTATGTCGGCTCTACGGTTCCGTGGTGACTCCAAGAGCGTTCCAAACACCCCTCATGGAGTATCCAAGCGCAATGCCACATTCAGTCCAAGAATTCAATTCCACGATACCTGGCCAAGTGGAGAATATGACCGACGTGGGGAGGTTGCTACTTGCAACCGTCTAACGCCTATGCTCGCCGCACAAATTAAGGAAGAGCTGAACACCTTCAAGATGGTATGTGGTTCAATCTGATGTCGGTCCATACAAGGTCACTAACTCGTCAATAGGAAATGGAGGTTCATGAAAGCTCCAAGGTTTACACACACTTCTTCTAATGACACCAATGATTATGGCCAATCATCTGGTCAATGACTACTACAACACACCCATCTTGCTTTCAGCGGGTACACAAAATACACAAAAAAAAAGTTGCTTTGCACAAATACAGACTTCAAAGGCGTTCATTCGGGTCGCATTACAAAGGTGTACCGGAGTCACTTCACATATGAGCGATTTGGTCGAGCACATCATCTTTTCTTTAGACTGGCGTCGGCCGTCAACAATTCACGAGCATGCGAGGGGAGAGGCCCCGATAGGTTGAGATTCTTTTTCCAATGGACCTAAGAAGTTGCGAGACGAGATGTAATGCTGCAAAGCTTTTCCAAGAATTTGGGAGGGGTCGGCGTGGCACTTGTCCATTTGGGCTGGCAATGTGTTTTCCTTGAGTCTTCACGACGATCAGCAATCGGCTCCTTTCTAAAATTTCGCATCTTGGTTTCCTTTCATCGATTCAGAGGGTTGAAAAGGGAGCATCTTGGTGGTGGACAGATCTGATGCCGCTCCTCTTCTTTTACCAAGGCCGGTTCTATGCCAATTCATGTTATTGTATTTCAGCGTTGGTGACCTTGTTTATGGAATGGTAGGGGGTAGGGCATAGTCTGCGTAATCAATGATACTTCATTTCTGTACAAAGCAAATATATATTTCAACAAGAAATGGTTACGTGGGTTTTAGTGTAGCTGAATACGTCCCTACGTGACAGCGTCTAGCTTTAACCCTTCCACCCTCTTTGATCTTTTTGAAATCCGTTTTAACTTCCGATTTGCACATACTACTCTAATTGCTAAGGTCATTTACCCACTTCAAAGTATAGTAGAAAGCCGCTCCAAAAGAGTATTGTAGCAAGGGCGCTCCAAGGGTGTTTTAGTATAGGGTAGGTATAGATATATAAAATTTGCGTCGAAAGTGAAATGATTTTATAGGTAGCTTAATAGTGGTATATATGTTTCGTGGTAAGATCCATCTGGAAACTTTTGTATAAGTCTTGGGGAAGTTACAATTAGAGTACTTCGATACTGTACAGTAGGGACGAAGCATTAGAAAGTTTAAATAAAGGTTTTGCTTATACTGTACTACGTTTGAGATAAGTGAGAGGATTCGGACTGATGGGACGAATGCCTGAGTGCTAGTTTTCAATAAAAGGGGAGGGAGGTACTGTTTGGAGGCCATCCATTGAGCACTTGAAAGTCTTCTATTCTACAATTTATTTGTGATACTCTTTGTTACTCTGCTCGGAAAGAAATCTCGCATCGTGATTCTTCTGATACTGTAATATGCATTTCCGATATCTCCTTGTTGCCGCTTCTGTGTCTATAGCAACTAGCGCTGGTGTTGCTGCTGGTCAAGGTTATACGTGGGCATATTGTTAACAGCAAGATGTCGGTCTTTGTATTTCTCTTCCTACTACTTAGATAGCATCGTTGATTTCTCATTAGGGGACCGACGACAGTCGAGCCACGTTTCTTGGATGCAAGGGCCAACAAGAACAATGTACCGCTGTATGGCTGTGACGATTGCAAGTTTGTGGACGCTGTTACGGAAGTCGATCGTATTGCAAAGTGTCGAAGTGCCGGAAAGAAGATGCCGCCCAAGGTTGTAAGTTTTGATAGATTACCCCCTCGCCTTTGGTTATTGATAATACGAAACTAATCGTATTGTAAAATACTGTAGTGGGAAAGAGGGTGTCGGGATGCTAAGGCAATACCGCTGTAGGAAATTAGTTGATAGAAGAGAGAAGGAAAGAGGATTATTCGTAGAATAGGTTAGCAGACCTACTTTAGACAGCTGTGAATTAGTACTTTGAGAACGATCAAGTCCACTCATGTTTATTACTCGAGCCTAGGTAGAGAATGGTAGCCTCGTCTTGGCACTTCTAGCCTCGCACGTCGCAAAATTAATTTTCAAAGACGGCCATAATACTTTCCAAACTTTTGCAATGATACCCGTGGACGCTGCGAACTTCCACATTGATCTTAGTCCCNCCCCCCCTCTCGACCATCATTCTGGCTCTGTCCAGGAATTTAGCTAGGTTGTGGGCTGGCACCCGACATATAAATCCCCTTGCGCTTCAAAGAATGGCTTCAACTACCACCGCCGCCTCGATAGCGGATCCTCCAGCATCGAACCCGAATCTCTCAAATGGCGACTATAGGGCATCGACTCCGTCACCGTTACAAAAGCTCCACGGTCGCGCTTTCTATGAGAGTATTGGGAGCCCCAAATTGGTGCTTGCGCCTATGGTGGACCAGTCTGAATTCGTACGTTGTGAATCCAAGTCGCATACTTGCTACATGTCTCTGACAATATGACCAAGGCCTGGCGCATGCTCACAAGATCCTTCATGCCGGAATCCTCACCTCAAGATCTTCTAGCATACACGCCTATGTTGCATGCAAGACTGTTCAATGAAACTCCTAAATTCCGACATAACCATTTCCAACCTCTTCGCGAACCTTTGCCCCCGCGCACCGCTTCTTCTCCTCCTGCTCCAATGACCACCCAGAATTTATATCTAGATGGGAATCCGGCTTTTGATCGTCCGCTTGTCACGCAGTTTTGCGCCAATGATCCGGATGAATTCTTGAGCGCGGCGAAGTATGTAGCGCCTTTCTGTGATGCTGTGGATTTGAATCTAGGCTGTCCGCAGGGAATTGCAAGGAAGGGGAAATATGGTGCGTTCTTGCAAGAGGACCAGGAGCTTATTTGTAATATGATAAGGAAATTGCATATGGAATTGGATGTTCCTATTACCGCCAAGCTACGCATTCTGGATACGAAGGACGAGTCTTTGAAGTATGTGCAGAATGTGGTCAAGGCGGGGGCTAGTATTGTTACTGTTCATGGGAGAACAAGGGAGATGAAGGGTCATAAGACAGGGATGGCGGATTGGAAAGTTATTAAGTTTTTGAGGGAGAATATTCCAAAGGAGGTGGTTATGTTTGCTAACGGGAATATCTTGCGGAGGGAAGATATTGATAGGTGTTTGGAGGAGACGGGAGTGGATGGGGTGATGAGCGCGGAAGGGAATCTTTACGATCCCGCTATTTTCGCCACGCCTCCACCGGTGGGACAAGAAGGGAGAGAGTACTGGAGGGGTAAAGACGGGAAGGGAGGTTGGAGAATGGATGCTGTGTTTAGGAGGTATATGGACATCCTCTATAAGTATGTGATGGAAGTGGAATCTCCGAAGCGACAACCACTTTTCCTCCCTTCTGATATCGAACCGGCGTCAGAAGCTACGAAAACCTCGGACAACAAACGACCCAGAGATGAAAATTCTCCCCCTCCAGCAGACCAGCCTCCAAAGAAAAAGACCCGGGCTGATAAGAAAGAGAGAACTCAGAACCCAAATTTCCTCGCTATGCAACCTCATCTTTTCCATCTATTGAGAGCGTTAGTCTCGAAACACCACGGTGTTAGAGACGCGCTTGCCAGATGCCGAGCAGGCGATATCCCAGCCTTCGAAAACGTTCTTCAAATGGTCGAAGTTGTAGTCAAAGAAGGACTCCTGGAGTATGAAAAGACTGGAGGAAAGAGCTGGGAAGAAGAAATGGCGAGAGATGACAGACTCAACGCTGAGAAAAACAAGAAATTAGAAGAAAGTAAGAAATCGGAGGGAGAGAATGATGGGGCGGTAGATATTGAGGGAGTTGAAAGAAATGGAGAACAGAATAAAGATTATGGAAGTTCGGTAGAGATGGTACGGCTTTGTAAAAGGCCTTGGTGGATCGTTCAGCCGTATGTCAGGCCTCTTCCCAAAGAGGCGCTGGCAAAAGGCGCGTTGACTTTGAGTAAGAAGGAAAAGGAGGCGTTGGAGAAAAGCAAGGCTGAGAAGGCTCAAAATGGTGGGAGTGAGAAGAAGCGAAGAAGTCGAAGTCGAAGTCGAAGTCGAAGTCCTGCAAAGAATAGCTAGGGGATGTTGCTCTGCTTGGGTGTCGAATGTGTGAAAGGGGGTTTTCAAGGGCAGAGCAAGGGAAGAAATGACCGATGTGGGATCTAGGAGTGCTCAAGAGCTGATGCACTGCTGGTTTATGGCGGTGGGAAGGTGATACCTGGGTAGATATTAGGTGACGATCGCACTTTCTGGGAGCTAGAGGGTCGTATATAGTTCAGTGATCTTTTAGCAATCTCCCTTCTCTAAGATTACTCATATATAAATCATGATTTCAGAAGCCCCAGACAATCTAGAAAGTGGATGTTTTTACTTTTCGACTGGGATGTTTGGGATAGTATTATTGTTTCTAGGAATACCTCTTGTTACAGTAGAGAAGCGAAAGCGTATTAGACTAATGTTTACTGACTAAGGTATTCTTACATGGACTAATCATAATATTGTATGTGCCGCTATACGGATCACTTTCTTGTTTTGGAAATACGGCCTTATTCTAGAGAGCGAAGGGGGTTTTTTCCCTCTTTTTTTCTTCCTCTTCTTTTCTCTTTTTCTCCCCTTCTCCTCTCCCTTTTTTCTCTAGGGATCCAAGGGGTTGAGAAGTTCTCTGGAGATAAAGATAAGTCCTATGCTGTGATCTTACTGCCACTGCCACTGCCACTGCCACTGCTACTACCACTGTGGATTCTTTGGCTTTTCAAGGGCCGATTAGAGCTTGAGAGATGGGATGTAATGGAAGGTGTTGGAATGGAATGGAGTGGATGGGATGGGGTTGTGTGTGTGAGTGTTTCTTGGATGAGTTGGTTGGTGTTGATGTTGATATTAGGATGTTTCAAAGTATAGGTACTTACTAGAGGTTGTGAGGTTATGTGTAGGACGGTGGAGGGAAGTTAGGAGAGTGATAGAAAGTTGTAGTACTTCTTGGTAGGATTGGATTGGGATTGGGATTAGAGTTCTGATAGGAGAGAGGTGTGTTATAGAGAGATAGGGGAGTGAGGTGGTAGGTGAGTGAGGTGGTAGGTGAGTGAGGTTGTTGGGAAGTGAGGTACTATGAAGTGAGGTACTATGAAGTGAGGTACTATGAAGTGAGGTACTATGAAGTTAGTAGGTTAGGAAGTGAAATAATCATAAGCGAGGAATAGGGGGCGGAAAAGAGATATAAAGAGTAAGTCATTAATAAAGGAGTTAGGAAGTGAGTAATTTAGGAAGTAAAGAATTTAGAAAGTTGAGTAGTTAAGTAAGATGGTTTAAAAGTAAGGTGATATAAAGTAACTAGGTTAGGTGGTTAGAAAGTAAGATAGTAGGGAAGTAAGTAAAGAAGTAAGTTGGTAGAAGTGAGTTAGTGGGGAAGTGAGTTAGTAAAGAGGTAAGTTAGTTGTAAGGTAAGTTAGTAAGGAGGTGAGTTTGTAGGGAAGTAAGTTAGTAGGGAAGTAAAGAATAAAGCGAGGGAAAATAGAAAAGTAAGTAAGTTAGTTAAAGAAGTGAAATAGTCCAAAGGTAAAGAATTTAGGGAGTAAGTAAAGTAGTAACTTGGTTTGGAAGTAAAATTATTATTAATAAAAAGTTAGTTGTTAGATATATAAGTTAAGTAGTAAGAGCGAGTTAAGAAGTAAATAATAGAGTATGTAAATAGAGTATGTAAATAGAGTATGTAAATAATAGAGTATGTAAATAATAGAGTATGTAAATAATAGAGTATGTAAATAATAGAGTATGTAAATAATAGAGTAAGCCAAGTAGTTAGGAAATAAGTTATTAGGGAAGTAAATTATTAGGGGAGTGAGTTATTAGAGAGGTGAGTTTTTAGGGAAATAAAGTATCAGGGAAGTGAGTTATTAAGGAAGTGAAGTAGTTAAAAGGTGAAGAATTAGAAGTAGATTAGGATTTCAAGATTTAGGAAGTAAGAGAGTTGTGGAGTAAGCTAGTAGCAATAAGGTTAGTAAAGATCGACATGTTTATTTACACCAACTATACGAAAGGATACGAATATATGGAATCGTGTTCCAGATACCGAACGCTAGTTATTAGGAAATGACTAGTCACCTTAATTACGCTCTTATCTTCAAGGAGCTATACTTTGTAGCGTTCGGCATCTGGAACATGATTCCATAGAGTTTCCGAATTATATTCCATCGTAGATTCGTAGAATATTCTAGAGGATATATATGAATTTCTTTTAACTAATGGGAGAGCTTGGAATAAAGTGAAGTAAGACTAGCTAGCGTAACACGCTTAATACGTCCTAGTGTAGTCCACTACTAGTTATAAATAGTCACATACATACACTTATTAGTAAATTAGAGAGGGACATTAAGTATTGTTGCTGCCTTGAGCTTCATATTAGTCGAACAGAGCGAAACAACCTTGGAGAGTATTTCAAAGATCATGTGACAAATTCTAGAGTGGGGTTCTATATTACATGGTCTAGAAATGGAATAGTCCAGATCCTATAGAAAATGGAATGAAAGGTTCCATATAGGGAGTTTGGAAGGGAGTGGAATTCCAGTTGGCGAACGCTGCCAACCACTCCTATTTGATACACCAGGGAAAGGAATGTGAGAATCATAGGTGTCGGAGCAAATGTCTCAAAGTTAATAATAGATTCAGGGTTCAAGAGTGAGGTAGCTTTTCAAGCAGCAGTGATTGTGGAACTTTTCAAAAGACATGTGAGATCGGATTCTCGACTTCTTTGAACCCCTTTCTTGAAACCTCTTTATTGTCTTATGATGACCTTTGAAGAATGGGGATTCGATTGCGGAAATGTGCTATTAGGTTGGAACTATACTACGCGAAGGTTAGCCGGAGGGAAACCTTATTATGCACGATTTCAATGTTAGTCAAAAGATTTCGTGAGCACTTGGGGGCGGTTGATTTTAGTTAGTATTCTTCTCGCCAAGCTATCGGTGTCGGTGGCTCTATGCTCAATTTTTGATGGAGCGAGTGAAAGGGGTAAATACCCCGAGTTTACCCCGCATGTTAGCTTGTATCCCCGATACTCTGTCTGACGTTTCCCCGGGATATTGGAAAAGAATGAAGAGAAGTTATTCAAGAACTGGATTGAAAGCGAGGTTGTCTCTTCTTATCTTTATTGTAATACTGTATCGGTTGGTCCATAGCTATTGTATATGAAATCCAACCACTCGCTTAGCTATCGCCTCGCTTATTCTACTTTGGTCCTAGTCAACTTGAAATCACGTGAACAACCAATTTTAGAGACTTGATGCAGTGAGTCAAGTTCTAGAAGCCTTCCACGCATCTGACAAGCGAGGACCACCAAAATAAGCATGGAATGTTGACTTTCAGAATGAAAATAGTTCCAGGCTAAAGACATCGACTACATTATCTATGAATGATTGGAGGCTCGCCGCTATAATTAACCCTAGCTGGCTGAAAGTATTCCACCCTACGCTCTAGAATTGTGTATCTGTATGAACAAAGGTCAGCTTGCCAACCATTTGGCAAGATGACATGCTCTCTTAGGATCTGTTCACTCAGACTATTCAGTCCGAATGTCGTCCGTTTCAAGAAGCCTCCGAGCGTATTTCGCTTCCTTTGGCATAGTACAAAATCCTGCATGTAGAGATACTGTAGATCATTTTTTGACTCACACAATATGGGGTCCAAATATCGCTTTGGTGGCGAAAACTATTTGTTGCTCTTGGCCAACATATCGTCCTGAACATCGTCCCAAAACGGAGACAGAACGGCCATGTAGCGCATTTTACAGCACTACCAAGGCACTAACTTCTATTTGTAGGCTGTTTCTACGTATGCCAAGCTCAAATATAATTAGAATATCTTTTAACTGACTTTTATTCTTCGATATTGGGACTAAGGTGACAATTCCCTACGAAATGTACCAGCTTACATACGCGTGCTATAAAGCCACAGTCTTTGAGCACCCTAATCAAAGAGTATATCAGCCCAAATTATAGCGTGTAAAGCTTGAATCTGCTGTACTTGAGATTCTCCTGAAAAATGGCGCAGAGCGAATATAGATCCAAGAACTCATGATAGATACATTGGCTTGTCTGTTTGAAAATGGGGATAATATTCATCAGATATTCTGATTAAACTGAGCCTTAGAAGAAAAAGAACATTTCTCATTGGCTACAATAATGCACCTTGCGTGGCAAGAATGCGGGGGAAAACGTAGCGAATCAATAGCCAAAATCTTCAAAGCGAACAAATTGGTTTCTGGGTATTGGCAATATTCAATATTCACCTCAACTACGGAGGTAGGTCTTTTTTCGTTATTGTGAAAACTTTCATTTTGCGGCACAGTATTTGATGCTACATCGTTCTTACCACGGGATTGGTATTTCTGCGGGCTCCAGGGTACCCCGTAGTCTCGCTTATGTGATATTTGGAAAAACTTCATCGTACCGAGGTGGGATGTTGGAAGAGTTCTAGTGAACGGTGCTTGGCTATTTTGAGACCAACATTGAATCGTTGGAACCTTTACGGTACGGAGGTTGAATTTGAGAGAATTGGAAATCATGGCTGAGACTACAAATTGGAGAGCAGTTCCTTCTCATCAAGCATCCAAACTACGCCCGGCTGAAATTGGGGCATCAGCAACATATTTTTCAAAATGATTTACTTCAAGAGACTTGCAATTGCCATCTTTGTTGTACTCAGCTGCAGTTCTCTGGTACTTTCACAGCAAGTCTACTTCTTGACTAATGGGTCAACACCTCGACCAACATGTGCTTCTGGTGCATTGCCAACGCCCGTTTTCAGTTTTCGAGAATTCTCCTTCAAGCAAACTGAAACATACAGAATGGCTACATAAAACCCAGCTCCTACGGTAACAGTGAGTGTTCCGATTTTCTTCTCGATGGGTGTGTTTTAGACAACACATCTCAGGGGTGTCCTGGGGTTGTCTTTGGATTCTTGGTAGTTGTGGGTATTGATAAATCTGACTCCAATTCACATCATAGATAACGTATGCTCAGCCATATTCACAGCTAAGCTCCTTGGTACCCAATTTATCTAGTACGACATGGGGAAATTGGGATCCAAATGCAACTGCCACCGCAACTGATACCAACGATCCGTATGGCCAGGCAGCTTGGTCTGCTCAATGGGTCTCAGCCTCTATAGCACTTACTACTGGAAGATACTCAACGACTGTCAGTCCGACACCTGTCCCAACTAGTGAATTGATCACTCCACCCCCAGAGTACTTTGGTCCAACAGATTGTTTCAATTTCCCAAAGGATTTCATTTTTGGTGTGGCTGGTGCCGCAGGACAATGTGAAGGAGCAGTGGCAATGGAAGGAAAATCACCAAGCATTTTGGAGAAGTCAGTTACCGAGCCATCAAATAGCTACGTCACAAACGAGCATTATTTTCTTTACAAACAAGACATTGAAAGACTTGCCTCAATTGGAGTCAAGTATTACAGCTTCAGCATTCCATGGACCCGAATCTTGCCTTTTACGTATCCCGGAACTCCGGTCAACCAGCAAGCTATAGATCATTATGATGATCTCATAAATTTTGTGATTGAGAAAGGCATGGCGCCAATCATCACACTGATACACCTTGATACTCCTTATGTCTTCTGGAACTTTGGTACAGTAAGCCAAGAAATCTCTGATCTTGGAGCTGGCGACGGAAAATTCGGTTCCCAGGAGTTTGAAGACGCATTCGTAAATTATGGCAAGATTCTCATGACACATTTTGCCGACCGAGTTCCTATATGGATGACGTGAGTATCCAAGTTACGCTGTCAACTTAACGTATTCAATACTAAATTCAAACTAGATATGACGAGCCCTTTCTCCAAAGCAATAATGCCACTGGGGTATATCACATTATCAAAAGTCACGCCCGAATATACCATTTCTACAAAGACGTTCTCAAAGGAACCGGGAAAATCGGTCTGAAACTCAACGACAACTTTGGAGTCCCGAAAGACCCCAACAATGCGTCCGACGTAGAAGCCGCAAATCACTTCAACAGTCTCCAAATCGGCATATTCGCAAATCCAATTTATCTCGGACTCGACTATCCAGACTCCGTCAAAAACACGCTTCCCGGCTTTGACCTTAACTCCACTGATCTGGCTTACTTCAGCGGAACTGCTGATTTCATTGGGGTTGATCCTTACACTGCTGTAGTCATCTCTTCACCACCTGGGGGGATTTCTGCATGTACAGCCAACGAAACAAGTTCTTTGAGACCATATTGCGTAACTGAGGGCTCAACGAACATCTTCGGCTGGAAAATAGGACTGCACTCGCAATACGATACAATGTACCAATCACCGAAATACCTACGTACCTACCTATCCTATCTCTACAACACATTTCACATCCCCGTCATGGCGACAGATTTCGGTTTCCCCACCCATTCGGAAGCGGATTGGCACTTGGAAGACCAATTGTATGACAGTTCGAGAACGTTGTATTACCAGAGTTATTTGACTGAGATGTTGAAGGCTATTTGGTTGGATGGCGTGGATGTTATGGGGGCTTTGGCTTGGACTTGGGCTGATAATTGGGAGTTTGGGAGTTATGATCATAGGTTTGGGCTGCAGACTGTCGATAGGGATACGATGGAGAGGAGGTATAAGAGGAGCTTTTTTGATGTTATGGATTTTGTGGGTGCTAGGATGGGTCCATAGGTGGGGGATTTGTCAAGAGCAAAAGCTTGAGTTTTCGTTCAATAGATATCTATTGTGGAATGGAATATTTAAGGCCGAGATCAGTTTAAGTAGAGGTGAGTGGGAACGTCACTCCCATAGCTGTGCATAGCCGCTACAACAATTAACGCGGCCTAAAGGGAAAGCCATGTATGTATGAAATCTTCAAGGTGCTCAGTTGGACTCGGAAAATCCTTGGCCATCTGTATGTTTAGACTTCCCAACATCATTCACAGCCAGCTTGTTCTATTATGTATCAAACTCTAGCTCTAAAAGAGGATTGGTGGGAGAAAAGTATAGGGACACATACCTTCTGCTGCAATATGATTAGCTTCAATTCTCACCTCACCATTCCAGATTTGATGAGGCCAGTCAATGAGAGGGACTGGTTTATCCAAATGGGCGGAGCTCAATGCCTTTTCCCTGAAGACCGCGAAGCCGAGCCGAAGAGCGAGTCCGTCGGTGGCCAACAACAAGTCCTCATGACTTTTTCCAGTAGAATGGATACCCAAGTTTCGGTAAAATTCAATCTCTTCCCCTTCCTCCTTGCGCAGATATGCCATATTCCAGAACGCATCCACGATTCGAAAAAGAGTGACAAGCCCGGGGAAATGCCCGGGCTGTGACGATAAATGACTGAGCTGTGTGATTAAAGGAAAGGTTTCAGGAAAAATTTCCAGACCGTCGGAAGAATGTTGTGATAGAGTATGCCTGCAAAATCTTGTAGAACATCCTGCTTCGGCCTCTATCCTTGTCGCAAAACATCGCGGTGTCCAATCGACCTTATCAAGATAAGCTGAGAAAATTTCTCAAAAGCCCAATAGTTTGAGCTCTTCTTCTACTTTGACTTGAATTTTGAGGACCTTACTAAGAGCATTCTCGACTAAGTGCTTGCGGGAGTGGCTGTTCTCAGGTGCAAATATTGTACATTTTTAGCCACGCCGTTCGCTGCAGCGTAGTTTTAGTAATATACGAAACACACAACAAGAGAGATATTCATACCAATTAGTACTTATCAATTTATCTGGTCGGAAACGCAAAATCTGCCCACATCCAGGGCGTGGGCAGACATATCCATAAACCTCATTTCTCATTAATATGTGCATTGTGATTCTGACTCCAGGGTAAATAGAAACCTGCCAATTTTCTGGCTGGATCGCTGTACTGGGCCATCGAGAGCTTGTTAGATAGTATTCGCCCCTCATGATTTTATTTCTTCCTGGCGTGTTTTTAAATTCTACTTGAAGGAGACCACTGAAGGTCTGGTAAGACGTCAGTGTAAGTCTTACTACTCACCGAAGACCATCGTAGTGGCTCACCTCCCAATGTTTAAACCACTCATAAGGTAACTCCCTCACAACACCCAGACCATCCTCAAAGACGATGTTCTCCGTGCCTGGAAATTGCGGCGATGAAGCTAGCTGGGTTTGGATCCTGACCAGTGTCGCATACATTTGCATATTTACCCGTAAAATCTTTTCCAGCAAAGCGCGGATTTCAGCTGGAAAGGCGCGAAGAAAGTTCAAGACCTGTGCCGACAGTACTCGAAGACAGAAGAAAGAAGCACGGGATGAGAACAGGAGAAGGTTCATTGAGTTGTAACTCTGTGCAAGTCTCGTTGTGTTCTCCGATACCTTTTCAAGCTTGGATTCGATATCGCCTTTTAGCTCACTGATTTTTCGATTTGTAGATCTTTGTGAATGGATCATATCGTCTCGCATTTCTCTGGATTCTTTTGAAAGTGAGTCGATTTTCGAACGATGCATTTCAATGCTCATCATCAGTTGATTGTGTCTCTTTCCGGCTCGTCTACCCTGGGTAGAAATTGTCTCCGAAATTTGGAGGCAAAGGAGTAGATTGATGCTAATGATTTTTGCCGATATTAAAGCCCGAAACTTCACCACATCTTCAGCAACAAACACAGCCCATTTTGCCTTTTTTGCTGCTACGCTCAGCGAAGTCCTCGCCCAAGGTCCCAGGGTTTTTTCATAGTGTTCAATTTTGACGAGGAATTCCTGCAAGGGAACCTGACATGCGAGCGCCATCCCACGAATGGCATTGACATGATGGGCGTTGTGCTCGTTCGGTGTGAGGGCAGCGAGTTGTGAGAGGATCTTTTGTAGAGCACCTAACTCGAGCATCACATGTTGGAATTCCGACGAAGCGCCAAAGGCTGTATTTCGTAATGCTTTTGATATTCTTGTACAGAGGTCTACTCAACATATTAACAAGTACGTCTATATCTGACGCAATTACTCACCAATTAATTGAACAAAATCTCCTACGGAAAAGCCAAATGCTGGTACCATGACTCGATGTGGTTGACGTATATTGACTACGAAGAACGTAATCCTCGAATCCTTGCCTGGGAGAAAGAAAGGTATTCTGAAAGAAGACTTCCTTATCCGGTTAACAAACAATGTTTCTGAGATGTATTTTATCAATCAGACATCTTGTTGAGCAACTCTCGGTATCCATCGATACTATTTCTAATTGACCATGCACGTTTTGATTAAATCTGCAAGAGCGAACGCTTCAAGTGGCCTTGATTCCTTGAAGGTTTGGGGCTATCGAACCTGAGATATTCAGGTTAGGATAATCATTCCAATTGGTCATATCGTTTGGGCGACTCGCACAGGTGTACTGCATGACGATATAAGAAACAGTACTGCATGCGGCGTCACGAGCTCCTTGCCCCCACACCTTCCAGAAATAGATCACATAGCTTGTGTCACTTGTTTATTTCAAACTTGCGACTGAATTTAGCAAAAAGCAAGAATTTGCCAAAAGGCCAGATTATGGATGCAAAATGACCATAAGAGGGTGCGCGCTTTTTGGAACGGCCTGCCTTTGGCGACTCGCACTGCATCCAAAAAGACCAAAGGGATCAGAAAAATCATACTACTGAAGCAAATGAGCCAGGAAAACTCCTCTGTGTTTCTAGTGTAGCAAGCACCTGCGGCCTCGATGTCTAAATAATGCACAAGAGTGGAACTCGCTCTAGTACCATGCCTCAAAGGCTGAACCATTGGGAAAGCGTCTCTGCTGCACGGAATTGTGCGCAACTGAGCGACATTACCTTTACTGCTGAAGGAGTGGCAGAGTTTGCAGAAAAGTATTTACTTCGGGTGACTTGTGGTGACGTAGGTACATCAGCTGAGGTAGTGGAAAAAAGATTGAAAGCCTCTTTTCATCTTGGAAAAACGTGGGATTGCGGTATGTTGATTCCCCAATTGGAAGTCGAATATCACTGATAGCCTTATGGTTGTGCTACTGGATGAAGCAGACGTTTTCCTAGAGGAACGAGATATGAAAGATCTGAACAGAAACGCGCTAGTGTCTGTTTTCCTTCGCGAGTTAGAATATCACGACGGGATTCTGATCCTCACCTCAAATCGAGTTGGAAAGTTCGACGAAGCGTTCAAGTCCAGACTTCAATTACCTCTCCATTATGAAAACCTCGGACCCAGTCAACGCCGAAGGATTTCGCGCAATTTCCTCATTCGCGTCAAGACCTTTGACAATCCAGTTATCGATTTTGACGATGTAATAGACCACCTTGATGACCTCGCCCCAGTAAAAATGAATGGAAGAGAAATAAGGAATGCCATAACCACAGCAAGACAGCTAGCACAGTTCAAGGAGACAGCCCTTTCCTACACGCATTTGCAACATGTTATTTGAGTAAGTGGAAAGTTTAGCGAGTATTTGAAGGATTTGAGACATGGGTTGACAGAAGATGAATATGTGCGAGATGGTGGGTTAAGGTTGACGTACAAGGGCAAGACGAATCTCCAAAAAGAATGTCCGTTATAGATTCAAATAGGTTGAATGAATATAATGTGAGAAACAAGGCACAGACATTGTATTTGTTGTGTTATTTTTCCATCGGCTTGAGTGAATTCACAGGGCCTTTGCAAATTCTCGAAGCTTCGAATTCACGATGGAAGTTTGGAAACTGTGTACTCGCTAAGCACCTGACCTCAAACATCTGTAAAGAAGCAGTCTTAGGATAAGATCTAGCCTTCAATAAAGGTACATCTTACAGTACTGTACCTGCCATACATCAGCATAGGAATCCCAATTCACCCACAAATACTGTCACCTAGAGTGTAACAGACCCACCCGCATAGATCCACCAGAAATCCAGATAACAATCCCAGAAAATGGACCAACAACAGAAAAGTTCCACACTCAGAGAAGTTCGTATTCCTGAGGAAGAAACCAAGGGCATCAACCAGCCACTGAGTTCTCCAACACTTGCAGCCATGGTCTCATCAAAGCCTTCCCAGCAAACCATATGGGATGGATCGACTTTCGAAAAATCTCCTACTTCTAGTTTACCAGGAAGAGATGGAGGTACGTCATTCGCCTCAGATGAGAGATCTGAAGTATCACCATCACTCGTATCCCAACCTCAACCCAAGACTGCGCGCGAACGGACACCCAAGCGAAAGCCGAAGCAAAAGAGAAAGCCCTTGAACTTCTGGTAAGTCATTTCCTTCCAGTCCCTTTACCTACTTCCACTTTCCCTTCCCTCCAAGATCCTAGAACTAACAGCCACCAACTCCAGCGGACCCCAAACCTTCACAACAATCCTAACTGGACAACCACCTCATCAACAAACCTTCACCTTGCACACATCCCTCCTCACCCACACCTCCTCCTTCTTCCGACAGGCATTCAACAACCCCTCACTCGTCGAGACCCGCACCCAAACCATGAAACTGCCCAACCTAGACAGCACCCTCTTCAGCATCATAGTAAACCACCTCTACACGCGCAAGATCCTCCCCGCCCCTCCCCTCCCTTCCAAATCCGCATCCCCCCCATCCCAAGAATCCAACACTCCAGACCAAGAAACAGATCAAGTATCACAATTAACCCTGTACAAACTCCACACCATGGCGGTCCATCTGAAGCTCCCCGCTTTACAGAATGAAGTCGTCAAAGAGCTTGTGAAATACGAGTTCAAGGGAAGCCTGGAGGATTGTATCACGGAGTGGGAGGGATTGGCTACGTATGCGTTTGGGAAGGAGATGGCGGGGAGTGTTTTGAGGGAGAAGGTGTTGGAGGATTTGGCGGATGTGTATTTGTTACTTGGGAAAGAGGAGGTACGAGAGGTATTTTTGGAGTTTTTGGCGGCGCTGCGATGGGCGTGTTGGGGATGTTGTTGGGACAGAAAGGTCTGGGGGGCGGGGAGAAGGGCGTGGAGAGATTTTTGGTGACGGAGGAGAGTGATGATGATTAAGGAGTTTGGAGGCTTGGTGAGACTAGAGTGGAAATTGCGGATCCGGGGAAGGGTTGTTCTTTTTGTCTTTTTCATTTGTGATTTGGATCTGAGGCTATGGACCCATGTTTGAGCGTGGACCTGGAGACACAGAATCATTGGACAATAGGGCAGCGGGCTCATGAGCGGAGAAGACGAGAATCAATGTATCTCTCACCTGTAATCAGAAGTCAGATCATGTACAAACGGGTTTTTTTTAGTTATGAATGTGAAGGACTACTTGACTCCGTACCTGAAATGCTGTGAAAACAGAGCCACAAAATATGCAGCAATACACATATGAAATATTGACACGTAATTTCTTCCACTGCGTAGCAAAATATCACCAAGAAAGGCCTCAGTAACGCGGAAATGGCCCAAACAAGCTACTTGATGGTTCAATATACATTTACTCATATTCATATTCATAAACCGCTCGACGCTTGCTCAATGACCGCAGTCCAAAGCAGGCATCCAAGTCCCCAAATAACTCCGATAAATGCTTTATTACACCCATGTGACATTCTGCCACCCATAAAGTACACTTGCACTTGTCTCCTATTTCAATTACGCCTCCTATTTGCCGGAGGAACATAATCTATTATCTTCTTCTTGTCGAAGATCTGCGCCTTCTTCCACTTGCAATACAACGTCACTGCATCCTTCAATAATACAAAGAGACATCCACCAGCAACAGTCCTACCCCATTTCGAATGCAAGAACCCAGTTGGACCATACCGGAACCGAAGGGCGCGTTGCCCAACCATTTTTGCAGGCAAGAAAATCTCTAGCAAATTCCCCATCATTGAGGAGATAGCTGGGAAAGCTAACGCACCAGTAATCTTGATGGCCGCTTGTGCAATAGACCAATTTCGTTGCAGCCCCCAAACTTGTCGATTTCCAGGGCGTTCATCGCCTTCGTCGGCAGCGCCATCGCCTTGTCCACCGGCAACTGGTGCGTTCTGATTCCCAGCACCTCCAGGAATTCGCCCTTGCCAATTTACATCTGCCCCCGGTCCAGGAGGTGCTTCTTCAGCTTCGTCCACAATTTCGAGCTCGAAAATAGCACGGTCATTGTCATCTTCCACTTGCTGACGGATTTCTTCTGCCGTTTCGCCCTCGCGAGGTTTTCTTTGGACGGCCAAATCCCATTTTCTTTCCAAAGCAGCGAATGAGTAACGATAAAACTCATTGTAGGCTGTTCGAATATATGGCAGGGTTGCGAATATAAGACCCGGCGAAGGGGGCCAATGATAGATGTCGCGATGTGAGGGATTGATAAAATACTGAAAAGTAACGTTAGTTTGAGAGTACAAGGATGAAGAGAATTTAACGTACAATTGAAATCATAAGAGGAAAGACAAAATCTGATAATTTAGTCCTTGACAGTACTATAGCTGGGCCAATCAAAGGTATAGTAGCCCATGGTTTCCAATGTCTTAATGGCCCGTACAGATGAGAGAAAAACGGATCTGTGCCAGTCATGAGATTCCATAGGGCATTCAATGGACTTTTAGGGCGTGGAACCGCAAGACCAGCATCCTCCCCCATATTTAACAGTATCTTCGCCGCATCCTCATGTCCAAAAACAACATATATTGTATTTACTCCGTAGACGAATAAGCCGGCATAGCCGCATCCGAAAACGGCACTAAGAGCGGTTGGTATTATGAGTCTCCTCGCCATTGCTTGGGTCCTATCGAAGAAGTTGACGATAGGATCTTGAGGTCGCTGGATCTTGATCTCTGCTTTACAAACAGGACATACGATCTTATGAGGCGACGCGATTTCCCCCGTCTTTGGTCTTTCCTCGTCTGCGATCCATTCGAGCAGGCATTCATCGTGAGCGTCTAGGGAACATGGGCATGCTTTCTTCCATACTGTATTTGGTTCGTCCTCTGTCTCGTCCATTTGGCAGATCCAGCATTTTTTAGGTTCGACTTCTGGCGCGTCAGGCGTTGGAGGAGAAGCTGGCGATGCATGTAGTTGGCTGGAATAGTTGACCCACGAATCCAGCGCTACGCCCTGCTCATCCTCATGCGTTGTGTCCTCTGATGTTTCTGACATGGCGCCTCTTCCTGATTGTTCTTCCAAAGGCGTGTGATGAGGCTGAACGGAGCGGGAGGCTCCCTGTTTTTGCTGTGGAGCTGAAGACATGGCGGGAGGTACAGAGCGTTGAAGGGTTGGATGTGAGGAGATATCAAGTGGAATCAACAATAACTCATAGCTGATGGCTTGCAGTTCCCGAATGCTCGTTGCTCGTAAATATGCTGGATTGGTGATGAAAGCGGAGTCTGATATCGGATCCCCAAGGCTCGATGGATGCACGCATGGAGTACTGTACGGTACCAGTGCATCTGAGATTACCCGGGAATCATCCGATGGGGGAAGGAGGGGAGGACATGGAGACAGCCTTGTTTGAGAGTGCTGGAACTGAACCAATCCCATTCACTTTTCTACGAACCCCGTTTTCTTACTACCGCTATATTTAATTTCTTTCATCACGATTCCAACGTCCTTCTTTTAAACAGTCTCGTCTCTTCTTACTTTGGCCCTCGTATCTTGGTACGCTCTTTCGTACCTACTCCATGGAGCCCATACAGCTCTTGCCGTGTAGAGTATTTAACCCCCAGGTACCTACCTACCTATGTAGGTATGTATCATCCCTGTAGAGCTCGCAGTGGATTACTGTACATGGGCAGTCTGGACCTACTTGCAGGTGAGTACTCCCGTCGTCACGTACACAATTAGACTCTGACACTCTGCGGAGGACCTCCGTCTGGGGTCCAGTGGGCCTGTCAATCAGCCCATCATGATCAACACGATTCTTGTCGGTCGTGTTCCTGTAGGGGGGTAGATTAGGTATGCTTCTTCGTATGTTATACTCTTCCATTGGTGTTTTATATAAGTAATATATGCGGTTCACTTGGTTTATTTTTGTACGTTTCCTCTACACGAGTGTCATGGGTGCTATGGCACAGCACAACATCAGCATGCAGCTTTGAGGATCGTCGAGGCTGATGCGCCGAGGGCGGAAAACCCGGTCATGAAATCCCCCCTTCTTCCTTCTTCGACCTCGACATCCTCATTCCCCTCTGCTCCACCATCATTGCATCTTTTCTCCTGTTGTTTTGTTAGACTATATGTAGGCGCAGCATGATCATGGTTCGACGGCGACCTCTCTTGCTTGCTGTTTTTCTTACCGTCCTTTTTGGAATCCTCTTTACAGGCCGTTATGGAGTGAAGGAGGGATCGCAACTCAAGCCGCATATAGAAAAGGTCGAACACTTCCTACGACCTGCCGGTCCCAAGGCACCATGTGAAGAACACCTTGGCTGGCTCGAACCATACTCCTTCTCCTACCCAATAAACTACGTCTCGCGCGACATCATTGCCGTTCCAGATCCAGAGAGCCAACGTCCACCCCTGACCGTCATCAACGAGCCACTTCTTGCAGATTTCAGTACCGTCGATTTATCCCAATCGCAGACACTCAGGAATTCAAAATGCCTCCCTCCACTCTCGCTCAAGGTCTCTCGAGTCGCTGTGCCGCCGCAAGATGCTTCGAATATGATTTTTGGAATGCAAACTACCATGGGTCGTCTCAAGAGTACAGTCAAGCATCTTGCTCGATGGCTTCCGAATACAAATGCAAGGCTATTTGCAATTGTCATTGAAAACGAGGAGACGCCGGCAGACGACGCAGCGATGAAAGCTTTGGAAAAGGAGTTTTTGGACCAGGGCATGAATGTCACAGTCATGCATCCTGTGAGTCCTACGGACAACTTCCCTCAGCGATACTTCTCGTTGGTGAGTGTCATGTATAAAGCCAGGACTGAAAAGACGGACTGGGTGGTGTGCATAGACGATGATACATTCTTCCCAAGTATGCACGACCTGGCGGCAATGCTCAAAGACCACGACCCCAAAAAACAGCAATATATTGGATCGCTAAGCGAGGACTGGTGGGCAGTGAACCACTATGGACTGATGGGCTTTGGTGGTGCCGGAATTTTACTCTCAACACCTCTTGCGAAGGTGGTGGACGAATTTACTCCATGGTGCAAATCACATCTGAGGACCAGCGCAGGAGATATCAGTGTGATGGACTGTGTATACGATCATTCAACCACGAAACTCACACATATTGCAGGGTTACATCAGGTGGATATGCATGGGGATCTCTCGGGGTTTTATGAGTCGGGGAGAGAAATGCTTTCGCTACATCATTGGAAAGAAGGAAGTGCTGCAGGATATAAGCTCGAGATGGAGAAGATGCATCTGGTCGCAAACATCTGCGACAACTGCTTCTTGCAGCGATGGCAGTTTAAAAACGAATTTATACTAAGCAACGGCTTCTCGATAGCACAATACCCACAAGGCCAGATTTCTGGAAAGAAACCAGGAGGTGTTTTGGGTACTGGTGTAGGCGGGTCGGTGGACAAAATTGATCTCCAAGCAATGGAACATACTTGGGGAGATGATATCAATGTTCTTCACTCGCTTCATCCCGTCCGAGATAAACTTCCAGACGATGTCAAAATCGGATACAAGTTATTGGATAGTATGTTAGTCGATAGTGACGCAGAAGGTCAGAAGGTGAAAGATGTTGTGAGACAGGTATATTTCAAGGAAGGTGGTGAAGGTGTCAAAGATACCGTTATGGTATTGAATTGGCATGCTGGGTCTGCTTAACCCATCAGCAGCAGCCAAGAACATACACAAGGTGACGAACATGTATAAAAGTTCTTTCATGCGGCTTTGGCATTTTGGAACGGCGTTGGGAAGGCCTTGCTTGTGCTTTTAGGATACCTTGGTGTTTGTTCAGTTGTTTGAAATATTCTTATCTTAGATCAAAAGGGGAGTAGGAAACATACATTAGCATAATAATACTGTACAAAATGATATCACGTTTTTCTATGATCTTTTCTTCCCTTGCCCTTTCTCTTCCTTGAATCTGACAAGTTGACAACATTCTCAAAGCCCCACAGATCAAAGGCCCCACAGCTACGGTACTAGTATATATTTCAAATACATCCGATCTCCTTCGTTAGTAAGTAAGAAGATTTACAAGAACTCGTAAAAGAGTTGATGAATCAAACCTGAAGTTTTCAAGTGTAAACCCTTCGGATTCAAACTTTCGTGGACCTGCATCGTGCTTAATCCCATCAAGATCTCTGGGGGGTGACTCCTGCACGCCCGAATTATAAATTGTGGGGCTCAATGTCGAGGCTCGTAAGAAACTGCAAATCAGAATTCGTCCATACATCCTCCAGACAAACGAAGGTCGTTTCTATGACAAGCTACTTACTCAATCCAAACTAGTTCACTCAACCCCACTGCCTCTCACCAGTGAACGTAGAAATGTCATCACAATCAGAAGGTCCAAGTGGAATCCTGGAACTGAATAAGTGCGGGGGGCATTGACTGACTAGCAACTATCAGGCGGGGCAACCTTATCCAACAACCCACTTTCAAATCAAATTACCCCTCTCCAAATCTCCATCTCTTGTCCAAAGCATAATCCTAAAAAGCAAACTTGCTTCCTTTGCATAATCAAGCAGACAAGGCGTAACAAAACAACAACATGTCGACCGTTCACCGTAACCCTCCTTTCCGAGCCGAGCACTTGGGCTCCCTGCTCCGTCCTAAGGACTTCTTGAAGCAGAGAGCGGCTTTTGAGAGTAAGGAGATTGGACAGGAGGAGTTGACGAAGGCGGAGAATGAATCTATCAATGCGGTTGTTGAGGTGCAGAAGGAGGCGAAGTTTAGTGCTATTACTGATGGAGAGTATCGGTATGTTGCCCTTTTTTAAAATTTGTTCTCGGATTGAGGTGTTTGGCTTTAAGGGATGTGAATGGAGTTTGCGATGAGCTGAGACTGACGAAAAAACAGACGTGCAGTCTTCTGGGGAAACTTCTTCGAAGATCTCGAAGGCATGACGGAAATCCGTCAACCATCCATGGATCTCTTCCGTCCGTACGTCCCAGATATCGCAGGCTTCATCGAGAAAGGTCATAAACCTGGACAATCATGTCTCTGCACCTCCAAGATTAGCCACAAGGGTAAAAGCACCCTGATTGATCAATTCGAGTACCTCAAGACCCTGACTCCTAAGGAGAAGTGGGGTGAGATTAAGTTGACGATGATTGCTCCTCCTTGGTATCATCTTAGATACAAGGATGGAAAGCCGTATCCTAAGGAGGTTTACAAGAATGACGAGGAGTACTTTGCCGATATTGCGAAGGCGGTTAGTGTCGAGTTGGATATTTTGTATGAGGCTGGTGTGAGAAATGTGCAATTTGACGATCCCAACTTTGCTTGTAAGAATCCTCTTCCTGTCCCCCTATTCATCCCCCCATATTTGTTCCGAACCTTTCACTTACAAGAACCTCAGACTTCTGCTCCGAGAAGATGCTTGCAGGCTGGATCGAAGACAAAACCAACACCAAAACCGCCGAAGAAACCCTCGACTCCTACATCCAATGCTACAACGACTCCATCGCCGCCCACACCTCCAAGATCCACTTCGGCCTGCACATCTGTCGCGGGAACTTCATGGGCTCCCGCCACTTCTCCGAGGGAGGCTACGACCGCATCGCCACCAAGCTCTTCCAAAACCTCAACGTCGCAACCTACTACCTCGAGTACGACACCCCACGTGCAGGCGGTTTCGAACCTCTCCTCCACCTCCCCGCCCACAAGAACGTCATCCTCGGTGTCATTACCAGTAAATTCCCCGAGCTGGAAGACAAGGAGAAGATAAAAGAGCGGATCTTTGATGCTGCGGATGTTATCGCTAAAGGTGCGGGCACGGATCGAAAGGAGGCGTTGAGCAGGATGGGCGTCAGTCCTCAGTGTGGATTTGCGAGTCATGAGGAGGGCAATCTTTTGGGCTGGGAGGATATGAAGAATAAGTTGAAGTTGGTGAGGAGTATTGCGGATGATGTTTGGCCTGGTGAGCCGTAGATGGGGATGTTTTCGCATCTTAACTTTGACGCGGGCTCTTATTTGGGCGGACTGCGTGTGTATGTATGGTCTTGGGAGACGGCGAAGAACGAATCAACCTCGGCATCAAAAGTATTTAAATTAAAAAATCGAAAAGTTCAACACTTGGATATATCTTGGCGAAATAGGCAATTGAAAGGTCTCTGTGGTTCTTTTCGTTTTGTAGAAGAGATTATGTAAAGGCGCATGGCTGGGAAACTTTTTTCACACTTCACAAGCATTTCAGGGTAGGTAATTGAGAGAACTCGCTAAGCGAGACCCCTAACCCAAACTGAGATCCCCTTGTCGCTACATTCAACAAATCAAATCAAATATAAATCTACTTCATCATCACATAAGAGGGTTTTCAGATCTTCCCAACTCACCACCTAACTTCCGAACACAAAATACCTACTTTAATTCCCCATACAATTTCCCTTTAAAAATACCAAGCAACTTTCATCCACTCCTTGACTTTCATTCACGTGAAAGCACCAAGTCCACTTCAAAGAGGTGATATCCAATGAGTGAGTTGGAATTTTAAAAAGAGACCGTCATTACTCTTTATTTATATAACCTTGAAACGGTATTTTGCCCTTCGTTGGGGTTGAATGAGAGAGGTATGGTAGTCATTACTCAGCTTACGCTTTGGGAAGATGTTTTACCACATCCCTGGGTCATAGGAATATTCGTGTGATTGATCAGATGGCGGCAGTTATGGTATATAGCTTGAGTGATCGGCGTTTGTTATGAAAATCAGGGGAATAACCTGGCTCTACGGATCCTGGAAAAAGTAGTACTTCCAGTTCTGATTTTGTTCCTTCTAAATTATACTTATTTTCGCACCTTTTGAACACTGAATTATAACAATGTATCTACAGAATAGGTAGTAGTATGAATGTGAATGCGTTGATTCGGAGTCTACTAGTATTTTCTACTTGTTTTTCTAACTTCTATAGAGTAAGAAGTCTGTTGTTCGAAAGAGCGTATACTCAGTGAATAAGAGAGGAGAATAGATAAGGCCAATGACTTCACGTCATGAGATCACAAGGCTTGAGGAACCGCGTGGCTCAGCTACAATGCCACTTGATTCTTAATGGTATTATTCACTTGCTGGTAGCTTACTAGCGTTGTCTCATGATATTTAACATTCAAATATACCTGTCTTGCTTTAAGGGTCAAATGATTTAAGAAACTTCCACAATCTATCCTTGAAACAAATCACTAGTAGCACATCATGACACCGATACTCCCTCTAATCACGCTCTTGCTAGCAGCAATACCTACTTATTGGGTTGAAAGGGTATTGGGTACTGAAGGTCATGGAGAATTGATTGCATTGTAAAAGGTAGCTATCTAAGGTGTTTATATAAAGAGTGTAAGATTTAAGCAGACATGAAGCATTTAGGCAGCAGAGCTATAAGTGGATCAAATCAGGAAGTGGAGCAAAAGAGAAAGTAGACCCAGCACAACACTACTCTTACTATAGACCCTAGTCTACGCTATAGAAACAAATAATATAAACCGCCTTCTCCACCTGTACGTATCTTATAATATACTAGATATATATAGAAGTATAATACTTACTAACTACTATCCTATAGTACCTAACCCTTCGACGCTATTGCCTACTATTTTAAACTCCTTAGCCTTATAACCTAGGTCTATACTACCTACTATCGAGCTCCTAGAACTAAACTACTAGGACCCTAAATCATATAGATATAACCGCCGAAAACCGAAATAACACCTACGCTAGTAGCGTACTCTACTAAGCTAGAGGAATTAAAGAAACGAGATATCCCGTTTCCGACTTTTCTGTCGATTCCTATGTTGGTGCTGGATGGGTTGTGTTCTTGTATTGTTACGAGTCCGCTTCCGCTTAGGACTAGTTACATAGACCGTTAGGGAGAGTCTGAATTAGGTTTGGTGCGTGCTGGGGATGCGTGGAAGTTGGTGGAGAGTTGGATGATGGAATTGCTGGAATGTGTGGTATGGTGATGAGGGTTAGAAGGGGAGAGGTGAAAATCAAGGGGCTTGGAACCAGGAGTTCGCTTGCTTGCCTGGAATGGGGGAAGTTCGAAAGAATTATTATCCACCAGAAATGGGTAATGGTATTCGTGGCGGAGTCGGATTTGGGGGCAAATACATGGTACTTCGTCCCAGGCGAAATAATTGTAGGTTTGCTAGGGTGGCTAAGGTTGGCAATAGGGTAAAAACCCTTGAAAAACCTACAATTATTTCGCCTGGGACGAAGTAGTAAGATAATGACAAACTTGGGTTGAATTTTGAGTTGTATCGAAATAGGTCAAACTAAAGTGAATGAGGGTTGATGAAGAGTGGTGCTTAAAAAGCTGGATGTGTTGGTAAGAAAACACAGAGGCGCCAGCCACGGCTCTTGTTATATTCTGGTGGTTGTTTTTTCAAATTTTCTCGCCTACCCAGATCAGACTTTGGTAGGCAAGAAGAGAAGAGCAGAAAACCTCCTTGTTATATGTCTCTCTAGAAGAAAGTATAGGTTCAAAATCTACAGAATCACAAAAGAGTTGAAATTGCTCCCAAATAATCTCCGTCCAATAGTAATGGCAACACTTTTTAAGCGCTTACAACAGCGCTTGCAAAACAGATACGAGTAATGGGCAGACAAAAGCTCACCCCAAACCTCACCTGATGTTTTCCTTTTCTCCCTCTCGGATATCTGTTTCCGACAGCAAGCCTTAACAGCCGAACCTCAAATACTCCCACACCCTGTGAACCCCCCAATATCCGAAAAAACCATCCGATTACTCAACTGACAATACCCCGAAATCAGCCATCTCAACGACATCTGGCCACAACACACGTTACACCATGGGAAGGAAATCTTTATCCGACGGGCGGATAGTCTCGGCTTCTCTGCGATGTGCAACAAGGACTCTTTTAGGTTCATCAATGTAGGTTTCGGGGGAGAAAGCGGCGGGTAAGATGTATGTGTTGTGGTTTTGCTGGAGATGGTGGCGGGTATTTGTTTAGGAGGAGTTTTCATGCGGTGTTTGTTCGGGGCCACGGGGGTTCGGATATCGGGATCGGCTCGGATGCGGGGTTGGCTCGGTTGGGTAGTTGGACGACTGATTTCAACTTAATTTGGACCGCGTCTTACCTACCGGTGTATCGAGCTTCTTCTCGATACGTTTGAAGGGAGTCTTCTGTTCTTTACTCATCACCGGATTGGCTCGAGGATATGGCAGTATGTTGTGGGAAATGACTGCCTTGCCAGTTTGTTTATTACTTTCGACACAGCAGAATTCCCCTCCAAGATTTGTCTCTTATTTGGTTGTGGTTAAGAGACTGACAGCTATAAATTGAGATGACTTCAGGGGAAGCGTGCTCTTCTATCGATAAAACAAAATAAGAAGGTACCGACGATGTCTAGGTGCCTGCTGATTTAACGGAGGCCTACGGTCTAAGAGCGCAGAAACTTGCACTCGGAACTTTGAGCTCATGTTATGAGTTCCGGATACAAGTTGCCATTACACTGGTTTCATTGATAAACTCGATTGACTTTGTGTGCAAATCAATATGATTTAAATGAGCTGTTACTTATTACTCTACATTTAAGCTCGCCTTGGTTTGGGTCGATGGCTCGAACATGCAAACCCATGTCCATACCGTATTTTCAATTCCTTTTCTCTCTCTTCTTCTTCTCCTCGTTTGGATCGCAAGATCCACGCAGCTCAGAGTCCAGTTGATGGTTCATTCTCGATTATTCTGCTTGTTTCTCCATTCAACTCAAATCGTCATAGGGTGGGATTCTGCAATGGACAGAGAAAACCCAACATTCTTTCTACAACATAGTCAATGGACTCTCAAAAAGATTCTGTTATTTTTTTTCCCTTTCTTTTTCTGTTTTGCTTGTGGTATAGAAGCAGCAAATAAGTATGTGCGGTTCGCCTGATGTGTGGTGAGGGCCGCTTGATGGTTGCTCCTGCCGCTTACCATGCGCATCGCCATCTCCCAAGGTCAGAAGTGTCTCTCGCAATTCTTTCCAAAACAAAAAGACAACATCACAGAGCGAGTCGTGAGGCAACTACTGCCATGGTGCGAATCAAGGAAGAAGACCCAATTGATCTTACAGATTCTCCGCCTTTGCCATCCAACAAGAGGTCCAGGAATGTCCAATTGTTGGAAGAGGCCTTTGGAATTGGTGGTGCAGCGCACGAGATTGAAGAGCCGTACCGCAAGCTTCCACGGCCATACAAGCGCCCCCGATTGTATAGCCATCACATCCAAACGGTGCAGCAGCGCGACAGATCCCGATACTATCAAGATATCGATGAGCCAGATAGACATACTGAGGATTCTCGGGCCTTAGACTACAATGGTATATATAGTCGTCGTGTTTTCAAGGGTATTGATGTTCTCGAAAGAACCCCTTTTGCAGACCCACGGGCAAAGGGCGATAATTATGTTGGAGACATTCGAGCTCAAATCCAAGAGCTACAGGACTTCCTAGTACAGGAGACAGGTCAAAAAAGTATTGCGTCCTTTCCGGAAGTAATCAAGTCTAACACTTTCTAGGAGCAAGGTTCTCCGCCTACCGCATATATGATGAGATTGGCGTCGAGAACCTGCACGATCCATTCCCGTCTGATTACGAAAGACAGTTTCAGTGGCTTTACAGGTTTGTTGTGAATGAGCGTTTGATTTTGAGTCAGTAAGAATTGCGTCGAGAACTTCTGCGTTATTCTAATGCTTCTTTGCAGAAACTCCTGATACAATTCGATACTACCTGGACAATCAATTTGGCGCAGATAAGATTCTTGCAGATGCAATTCGAGGGGAAATCGATGGGAAATTTGCGACCTGGAAAACTGTGATTGAGGCAGGGAACGGGGAAAAGTCAGACGACCTCAGCGGAGTTATGTGCCAATATGTCTATGATATATCTCGATTGTCCTATGTTGGAGAACGGGGATTACAGCTCGCTTGGGACTTGATCATCTACCTCGGGACGCACACATATTCGAGTCTGGAATCAGGTGGTGTTGGGTTTGGCTACCGCCCAAGTGACATAATCATTGATGGCCTGTGCTGCGAGCTGGCGAAAAGAAGGAGAGACAAGAAGAAAGGTTGGAAGCCAGTGGATGATTTCAATATCCTTTTGAATCATGCTACAAGCCTGTCTATGTGCTTCTGGTCAGATCTGACGTACCCTGGAGAGTGTGCACTATTTCGAAAATCCATCGATCTCTTGGAATCGTATGTTGAGGGTCGGTTGATCTCGGGAGAAGAAAACCTTTTGCTCAATTACGACGATCTCTAAGCGCTGCGCCACCTATACGTCTCCTAATCAAGTTAACATTTCGTGCTAAATATTGTCATTAAGGCTTGTATGGCTCCTCCCCCTTGCCTAGAAAATGCTACAATGGGATTGCTACTGATTTTTATAGAAGATAGCTCAGGATGTGTATTATTCGCATGTCTGGCCTCGTGGAAACTGCGGGGGAACTAGTACCGTAGCACTCGTTGAGACGGGTGCAGAGTTATTGCTGGGGACTCCGAAAGTAAGATGGACCACGATTCCTTTTGCTGAGATCTGTATGTATTCTTGAAAAATGAAAAACTTGGTATTGAATTTGACATTGAACGAGGCACAAATATCAGCTATCTTTCAGGGGTGTTTTTGTTTCCGCTTCAAGTTCTTTTTCTTTAGCTGGTATGACTAGAACAAAATCTGCCCTGGGATAGTGTTTTCCTGGGTGGATACATTCTTCACTTGCTAGTTTGCCAGGAGTATTGACTATATCATATCTTTCATCGACATACTCTTAGTGTCGAGCTATTGCTAATTTGGGAACCTACCCTCATTCTACCTCGCCTTGGGGCTGATAGGAGTGATGGGATTGTCTCAAATACTCACTGGAATTTTGCACCCCTTTGATCAGGCAAAATTATGCAGTCTCACTGTACCAACAGCGGATTATATCCTCGATCAAGTCACTGGGGTTGGTTCTCGCTTCCAAAGGATTTGTGTAACATCGGTGAGGTCAATCCAGACTCATTCTTTCCAGCCTTAAATTCAGATGTTCCTTCCACTTTATTTACTTTCACAGAGATATTGATCGCAATACTTCAATCCTTCCAATGGTTTCTCCAACAAGGTCACAAAGATGGACCGACAGAGTTTCAGTTTCGAGGAACCTGACGGGTTCTGGAGTTTTGTTGCTGACGTACCTCCTTTGTTTGGGGATTCCTCCTTGAATTCTTTTTAGCTTGGACTTGGAGTTCCTCCAGAGAGATAACTCAGGTGCTTCTCTGGACGGGCTAGCTGGGAGTGACGAGTATGGAATGGGGTTGTATGATACTCAAAAGAGCCAGGGATTCGGGATACCAAGTAGTTCGCAGCTCGCCCAAGTACCGGTCCCCATCTCGAGCACTAGTTCAGGACCTCACAGCGGCGAAAGTATTCCCTTAACAAATAAATAAAGACTTTCAGGACATTTTTAATGGTACTTCAAGTACAAAGATCATTGTCGTGGTGGGTCAGTAAATTTCAATAAAATATTCGCGTAAACACCTTTTTGTTTCCCCCTTTTACTTGCGGTACGGTAGTGGCGTTCTTTCAATACCAATTAAAACAGAGGTATTTCCAGTGCCGTATGGCCCTGAAATTTTAAATTTTCGCCACCTTTAGCGATCGGCGATGAAAGAAAGATGCTATAAACATACGACTGGCTTTGTTTTCGAACTGGAGGATCTTGAGCTGTCTACTAAAGAAAGAACTCGGGAAGCAAAACAATCCCTTGTTTCCTTGACTTATCTAACAAAGCGGATTGTGTTGTACTCGATAACCTTTCCTCAGACAGATTCTTAACTCAAATATAAATAGACGCACTTCTGCAGTTTTCTGTTTTTCTCACACACTCACACACTCACACACTCACACACACACACACACACACACACACACACACACACACAATACTCACTACAAACATTCGCTACACATACCTACTATTGCTAACATGACTTCCACAACTTTCATGGATCTCCCAAAGGAGATCAGATCAATGGTTTTTGCTGAGCTAGTCTCGATCAAGAACAACGTCGGGTGGCAACGTATTTCGCCGCGAGGTGGTGGAAATTGGCCAAATTCGACATTAACCTGGAAGGTACCATTTGAACTTTTCGTCTTAAATAGACAGCTCTCAGAGGAAGCTCTGATATCATTCTATCGGGAAAATAAGCTCGTGAGTATTCGCTCGCATGCTATAGATTTCCTGGAGGATGCCTCATGTGTAATTCCTTTGAAGCGTGTGAGTGTTTTCGAATTCGAGGCACCCAGTGGCGACTCGAGCCATGTTGCTCTTAACGTTGATCTTTCTTTCGCTAAGAAAAACCCCGAAAGGGCAAGTGGGAGCCATGTACCAGACGTTACGATTGCTTTTTAATGTCTGGTGAGGAACTTCCTAAGCTTGTTCGGCTAATGAACGTCCAGTTGAACATGGTGGAAGATGAACGGGCTTTCAGCTCCCATCAGCCTTTCAGCATCCATCTTGATTCTGGATCATCTTCACGCTTCTATAGAGATAATACAAAGTTGGCGGGGGAATTAGCCGATAAGCTAAAAGGCCTTCGCCAATTTGAAGAGTGGACGCCCGATCCAACAGCCCCTGCTCTAGTCAACCCTGGCTGGAGAAATGTCGTCATTAGCAACTTTATGGCCTATTTCATGCTTGACAGTATTTGGGTGAGTATCGGCAAAATTATCTATTACTCTTCCGGGGACCCTTCGGACCAATATCGCGAGGCCTGCTCTTTACGGGGTCAGGTGGGTCCGATTTATGTAGGCCTCCTTTTATCTTCTGCCAGAGCTTCGGAGAAGCTAAAGGGGTTCCCATCATGTTCGCTATACTTTAAAGCTCCATAAGAAGATCGCGAGCCTGAACCTTTTTGCGATTACGGCTGCGAGGCGCGGCATCTTAGAAAACAAGCCCTCTTTAGGCTAGAGTGTTTTGCCGGCTCCCTCATGAAGGAGGAGGACCGAGTAAAGGTAATAATAGTCACGTATTGCAAAGACTACATGGAGCATGGAGACTTAGAAGAAGCAGCATCAGCGCTAAGCTGGGCAGAATATCAAGAGCCAGACGGTAACATACTCAGAGATTTGGCCACAGAGGTTGATTCTCAATTGCCACAGTCAGAAAGTGCTCTTCGTCTAAGACAATTAAGAGCACGATCGGGTCCTGTCTGTAAATCAAAGGCATCATGAAAACCCGTCTCAGCCGTTGAGCTTCCTTTTTGAGAAGTTCTTAGAGCTTACGCGTTTCGAGCAATAAATTGAGAATAACGTCCTGGATCTACTACAGCAAATTGCAAATCATAAAATAAAATTAAGTTAGCTTCTATACTTTCGACTTCCCCTACTTCCCTTTCTACTTATAAATGCCGTCTTCTCTCTTACTCTTGAGTGTTCTTACCATTTTTTTCATACAATCTTACCTTTGTGGCTAGCGTAAAGAGGTTCTGTTAGTATATGTCGACTAAACTTTTTGGACTTGCTAGATGCTATAGTTTACGAGTTTTTAACTTCTCGATCACTTATGCGACTACCCACATATTAAATAACTGTGTATAGGTATACCTAATCTTTCCTAGCACTCTCATCCACCTTTAGTCCATATGTCCCCTAGACTTGAAAGGCTCTTTCTCTACCCCTTTCGTAGCTGTTTCTATTCTTATAATAAAGATGACATGTAAGATACATGGACATTACTCTGTACACGCTCGAAGCACAAATTATACTTAATTTCCCTAAAAGACTTAGTTTAATTGTCCTAAATTACTTAGGTTAATGAAGATACATGAATCTAAATTAGCCCAAATCGCTCGTATAACTGTTTTCATTATCCAAGGCTTTTAGAATAATGTTCTGACCTAGGTGTATATAGAGTAATGACCACGCCTTACCATGAGCTGCCTTACCACGCCTCTTAGTATGAGCTTTCGATATCCTCGCGGATTTGCGGGCGTACATAGCGGGTGCCTCGTAGGAGAGAAGTGCTATAAGTTTACAGATATTAGATATTAAGTAGCTTCATATAGTAAAGTAGGATGAAATGCTAGATGAGATGAGACTTTGAAGCAGATAAATAGAAGTTGGAAGGTAATCAGTTTATCCCTAAGCCGCAAAAGGACATCCGAGTAATAAGTGGTAAATACTTAAAAATATCTGAAAAGTCCAAAATATCGGTGAGATTGTCCCAGAAATGATCAATCCCATGATTGGTGGATAAACATATCAGCTCGCTCTCGGCTTGGAAAGCTTGGAAAAATAAGCAAGTGGTAATGCTCACCAAAGATTCAGACATAAGTGGTCAAAGTACGGCAGTTACGACACGGAATGGAGGAACGGATACACGAAAACTTCGCTACCCAAAGTTCACAATTATAGAAACCGAGAACCGAGCCTGTTTAGGGAAGGCTCCCGCCCTACTTAAGCGAGAACACGAGAATATCACGACCGCGATAGTATCATGCGTTCTTCTATCCCCACTTTGTTTGCAATATTGACAGCGGCAAAGCTGGAATAGCGAAATATGCTGTATCAAAGCAGGGAAGGAGGAAGGGAGATAAGGGTGAAGCAAAAAAACGGTGAAATTTGCGAGGGTATTGAGAGGGTGTACATTTAGAGTATTGGTTCTCTGTAGCCAATATGCATCTTGCCTTTTGATCAGAGGGTTCTAGAATACTGGTCCTAGATGGCACGAATGGCTTGACTCGGTCTCGTAAACCATTTCCTGAGATCCGTTCTATAGGCAGTGTCAGACTTCGAGCTACTTCAGACAAGAACCCGCTGGCATACCATTCAACGAGTGAGAAAGCCAAGGCAGCGAAGACAAAAGTGCTAGCAAAGATTGAAATTTTGAGAAGTCCCTACAGAATAAGCATAGAACAAAACACCGAGATAAAGGGATAATGTGACATGATTTATATATATTGGCCTCCGGAATAAAGGAGCCAATGTAACAGAAGTTTGATAGGTAGGTTTCTCGAGCCAAACAAACCTACGAAAGGTTTGTTTCAAATAACCGTATTCAAGAAGCGGACCCTACACACTTATATGTTAAACCCAGGTCCAGACCGAGTCTGCTCTACCTCTCTGTCACAGAAATTCGGTTGGGACGATGGCAATCCAGCCTAGAACCTGGAGGGCGCCAATTGAGAACAATATACAATAAGTAATCCTGCAGTCGGATTACATATGTGATGGTATAGAGGGAGAGAAATGATAAGCTTTGGTGACGAAATGGTAAGCTAGGCGGATGGTGAAGAGCTAAGCGAGATGAATTTGAAATTTGAGAAGATATAAAAGCAGCAGAATTCCCCTCTTTTTAAGTCCATCATTGCATTTGAATCTCCAGATCATTCTATCATTCTATCATTCTATCAAACAGCTTTTGTTACCACGCAACCATGCTTTGTTCCACTACCACCGCTCAAATCTTTGCCTTCTTGGCCCTCACGGCCTCTACCCTCGCCGTACCCCTCACTAGCAATGATGGCCTCGTCACCGACTACAAAGTATGGGCTGCAGAAAAGGGAGTCATAACTACTCGCGAAGAAGGCCTCCAGAAGCGTGCGGGTGGTCTCTATGCCTGTAATGCTCCCAATTTCAGCAACAGTGAAGGTTGTGTTCTCCTCCATCCTGTTATCGGCCAATGCAGCAGCTTCCCCAATGGATTCATCGACAGAGTCTCTAGCATTGGACCGGATTCAGACTTGATTTGTACTCTGTTTGAGTAGGTTCCTTGATGTCACCTGTCCTTCACTAGGCTTGAGTTAATCGCAGGCTTCAAAATGCTGACCCATCCTAGCAACTCGAGCTGCCAAAGAAACCAACCACAACTGGACAATGTCGTTTCACCTGGTTTCCAAAGATTGCATGATATCGGATATCCGGGCGGTACCTGGGAGGACAGACTTGCCAGCTACATATGTTTCAGAAATTAGAAATGGGGGTGAGGGATGCTATTAGGAGGACCGAAATGGGGATATGTTTGAGGTTCCACACTTTTCCTGTCTTAGTCGTTGTTCTGTACTTGCCCAATTGTGTTATCTGTGGCCAGGTACAATACTGGCCTAGCCACTCGTTATTAAGTATTTTCTAATAAAACCCTCTGTTTCCAAACATAACTAACGGGTTTCTTCGTACGAAAACACGATGGAATGTCGTCGTCCAAAGTCTCGAACAATCTGCGAACAAAGTTTTAGCTACCCATGTCGTGGAATGCTGCAAGAGCCTTGATAGTATATTCCTCGACGCCGTCATTTCACAATATATACAAAAGACCCAATGTGCAACTGTTACACGTAAAACTGTTTCTCCTCATTAACATAAACCCACCCCCAAAACACCAAATATCCTTCATCTGCATATCCCCTCTGGCCCCTCAACTGCGGCCAGAATCACACTAGGTGGCCCGTGCGAGGGCGAGGAACACCAACTTTTCTAGTATCTTTAATTTTGTATTCTTCTACTATTACCTGTAAAGTCTAAAGATACGCAACTAGATACAAAAGATCTAGGAACTCACTGTCTACATATACTGCACTTTTAAAAGCACGAAATAAGCTTAGAGCCTACGATAACTCTAATACAATAGTACTAAGTTAACCTACCCGAAGTCTGCTATATAAACTTTGGGCATGTTTGGCTCGCCCAGCTTAAAGATTTGTATACATATGTTTTTAAATAAGATTTGCATGCTAATCTTAATTTGTTCCTCCTACAGTGTCCCCATTTACTAACACAAAGCAAAACTCGGCTAATTTGTAGTCGTAAAGCGTAGGAGCAAAAAGAGCGCCTGGGAAGAAAGAGGGGACGGGGGGGAGGTGAGACTGTAGGAGGGACACTATAGGGTTAATGCTATAGAAGGGGTGGGCGGGGGGTACAGATATATAAGATTTGCACCCGAAATAAAAACTTTTGCACTCGCCAAACAGTGGTGCAATTGTTTCGTCAGAATGGTCTAATTTGCATGCAAATCAGGAAACTTTTGCATGAGTTCTTGGGTCCTCCAGCCCGTGCGTATCTTAGACTTTTGTACCTAATTTGCATGGAGAGATTTGCGTAGCACATGCCCTAAAAGGGTTATATTAAGCGCATTTGCTAATAATAATCAAGGAGCGGCTCTGAATCATCAAATCACGCTTACACATAACTAATAAGATGCCTGGTTGTATAAAGAAAGGTATTTTTCCGAAGTTTGAATTAGATATAGTATATTTGGCACCTAAAACTCATGAAATCAAAGGGTCTAATTGGGTCGCTTAAACGTGCACGGTTCAGTGTGATTCTGGCCGCAGCTGAGTGCAGCGACATAAAAAGCATAAACATTCATTTCTCGATCCTAGTCACTTCCAGTTGTCCCCGGATCTTCAACGGCATGCCCACCCGCCAAGCAGGAATGCCCAAATACCGACTCACCAGATTCAATTCTAGGGCTGTCTTCATCTGCTCAGTAACATTACTCTTCTGTATTATTGAGAGGTCCGATGAGTAGACAGTCTTACTTCTACAAAAGTGATGAAGTTACCAAAAACTAAAATAAATTAAGAAAATTTGAACCCTTTCCACCGCCCCCAAAAATGGGAGGGTTTACTAAAGACTGATAGCGAAATGGGATAACACCAATATCATTTGGGCACGATATGGGCTCATTTTTCCATGATTCCGTGAACGAAGCTATTTCATCGACTTCTTGAATCCTTCGATGGGCTTTCTTGATGGCTTAGCCCGCAGTGAACCGACGTATCTGAATCACACCAAGTTCCATGGCCGCAGCTCGGAGGATCTCCAATTTGCGTATGCTTCTGGGATACAAAGCAGACTTTTGAGGCTATTGCGTCATGTACGCTGGTCGAAGTGAAAGAATATGAACTTGCTAAAGGGAACTATAACCACGTAGGGTTTACAGACAAGGCGTCGGAGACTAGCAGGGAGGAAATTCGGCATAGCAACACAATAGAAGGCAGATACGAGGTCTCCAAACTCTGTATGGTTCTTGACATACTTCACTATTTTGAACGATCTTCTAGAGAGATACGGAAGCGGCACATGTTAAAGCAAAATGAGCATTACAGAATAAAAGATGCCTGTTACTGGATTGAAATTAGCTAATTCAATAATAACCAGAATAGTGTATGCGTATCATGGTAACAATAACAAGCCATATAGGATTTTGTTCCTACTCTTCTCTTCGAAGGCTTCGAATCGAGGCCTTTCGGAGGCATATGAGACCTGCAGACCCCAATATCTTTGATAAAATAGCATGGCATTTGAGGAAGCTTCCGCAGATACGCCAACGATGGCGATCATACAGTATCAAGCATCCATCCAACATAAGAGAGGAGTGGTCTAGAACGATTCTTGTCTTTGAGCTCGAAGTAGCGGCAGTTGTGATCTTACTAAATTTGGCGTTTCCCAAGAGGTCTCGGTAGTGGAGTCCCGAGTGAAACCATAGCCAAGCGGTGCCAATGATCATAACTATGCACCAGTTGATACTTATGAGATACTTCGTCCCAGGCATAATAGTATAACTTTTACGGCGGGTTTTACCCGGTACTCCACTGAATACCCCTCGTAAACTCAACTTTCGTTACGTCTGGGACGAAGTATGCTTGAGAAAGCAGCGGCGACCACTTGAGCTGGGGTGGAAAATAGTATATAATATAGCTTTCAGACCACCTTGTGAACAGAACACACAGTATCAACAGCCTTCTCCTACATCAAACTCCTCATCCATATAAACACCAAAAATTCCAACCATCAACAAACATGAAGCTCTCATTCGCCATCACTTTTTGCTCAGCATCTTTGCCGCAGCCTCTGCGAACAATTGCGCTGAGAAAGGCGGTAAGCCACCATTGTATTCGTTTTTACTCCAAGCTCGAGGACTAATTAGCAAAAACTAGCTTCCTGCGGTGAGCCCGGTCAGATTCTTTGTTGCGGTCATTCGAGTACTTGGCGAGTTGAGTTGAATAGCGATTTTCACTACTCGAGTTGAGTTGATTAGGTGCCACTACTCAACTCAATTACTCGAATTTACCACGCTGCTTGGGAGAACTATGTGCGTATAAAAAAGCCTAGGGTATTGGAATCTACCTGATCAGTGACTTCCCGGCTCGCTAAGTGTAGCTAGCATTGGGAAGCTCTGGGTCTCCAATTGGCGAAAAAAGCTCGGAGACGATTACTAAAGAAATTGAATCGAGGATTATATAGATGCAAGTTAGTCACAATCTGGCTCCTTGCAAGGTCGTGGTTGAGATTGTCGCTCCTATATCTTTTCTGCTTCATTTGGCGCCTTTCAAACCCCCATTCGAGATTTATAGTAAATTCTTTGGTAAAACGACAAGAACCGCAACCGAGGAGAGGAAGTATATTCTCTCACCATGTAGGCTTCTATTGTGTATAAAGAAATTTAAAGTCTACTTCAGACTTACAGTCGCTCATGCGCAGACAAGCCCTCCAAAAACCCAACCACTCTCTTCACAAGCCCATCTACAACCTCCTCTGGATTCCCACGCAAATTATGCGAAGCACCTTCCAAAATGCCAGAATTCTCAGCATCCACCTGTCCCTTCCCCTTCTTCGAGATTTCAATCCAACGCGCAAGCAACTCAGCAGGCTGAATCTCTTTTGGAACATACTGATCATTCCCCGACAACAAAATACAGAGTGGAATTAAAGCTGGCAAGCTACCAAACGACTTCATAAGCTGCTCATCAGTAAGATCTGACGAGAAGTAGTCGTCTGCACCGTCATGGTTGGGACTCGCTAACGATAACCATCTTTTAGCAGAGACTGGACAGCCTGGGAAAATGTGACAGGTATGGATGGATGGTAATATTTCATCGCCTTTCCCGCTGTCCACCATAGCTTGAGCGGTCTCGCAGGAGGTACGAACAGCGTCGGTGTCAGCGCTCATGGAGATAGCCTCGCGGTCGGAAACGGCTGCTTGGATGATTCCGCCATCGATTTTGGCACGAGTTTCATGGCAGGTTCCTGTTAGGTATACCATTACGTCTTGACTAGGAGAAGGTTAGCTCTTTGCCTTCTATTAACCTTTATCTGGTAGTTTATTCAGTACTCACCATCCTGTAGAATGACCCATTAAAATAATCTTCCCAGACTTGATCGTTCGAAAGTACGAGACACAACTAGACAACTCTTTGACGTCTTTCTCTAAGGACGAAATGCCCCACCCTGTGTAAGAACTGGAAAGTATTGCTTGAGCAATGGTCCATGATGGTGGAAGCGCATCGGCAATACTAGAGGTGTAGGGAGCAGTACTGGGAGGATTGATCAGCAAAAGATCTAGGAGCAGCGTGAAATGGAATGACGAATATCAGACATATTCTCTCAGAGAACACCCCGAAAATACTTACTGTAGACCATCAAACAAACCACCGACGAAAATCAGGAGGTTTTGAGGTGGAGTCGAAGAGACATGAGGTGTATGTTCAAAAGCAAAGAGACGACTTGACTAAGCGATGATTAGTCGACTGAATCCGAAGATATAGTTATTTTGAAGCAGGCTGTCTACACGCCACAGTTGGAAACTTGAAAACGTGGGGTTGATTATCCGTGCTTCGGCATTAGAATGAACTTACATATTGATGGCTAACCCCCGGACGAGCTACACCTTTAAAAGCCGGTCTCGACATTTTCTAATGAGAGGAATCTTTCGTGAATTGATGCGGGCTTTGGACGTTTTGTGAGTCAAGTTACACTTTTGAGTCTCCAGTTGGGTGGGTGAAGTAGAACCAGTGGAATCCGAGTCTCGATAAAATCTTCCAAATTATACTTGTTGAATCCCCTTTCTAGAAATCAACGAGAAAAGAAGTCTTGAAAATAGGCAAGACAAGCTGGTTTCTAGATGACTCAAAAAACCACCTAAACGAGGAAATGATGACCCATATCTCCATTTGGCGGGGAGGTCAACCGGAAACACGTGACCTATACATACCTAAACTTTAAAACAGCACCCTAGAACAACTACCCCCACACCCTCACAAAATCGCAGCTCATCCCATCACATCAACAGCTTCAACACCACCAACACCACAATCGCCCAACCAACCACCACAACCACACAAAAATGTCCCACACAACAACAACCCACCTCCTCACCCCCCTCTTCTCATCCTTCCGCACCCTCACCCTCTCAACCCGCAAACCCCTCCCAAAAACCACCCTCCAAACCCCCACCANAACCCACCTCCTCACCCCCCTCTTCTCATCCTTCCGCACCCTCACCCTCTCAACCCGCAAACCCCTCCCAAAAACCACCCTCCAAACCCCCACCAATACAAAAAGAGCATTCAGCACCACCACCCCTCTCGCCGCCCGCCCAGCACGAAATGCGGCGAACAAGACGGATCCCAGGATTTCGTTAATCCGATACCACATGCAGCACCCCAAGACGCCGCGACCGCTGAGGCTGAGTCGGCTGCGGGCGTTGCGACATTGGACGATTCACCGGGCGTGGATGTTGGCGCGACGGAAGAGGATGGAGGCCGAGGAGGGGGAGTTGATGAGGTTCGTAGATATCCGCTTTATGTTTTTTGGTTTGGGGGATTGAGATTTGAGGGAGGTATGGATGTGGATTTGGATTGGCAATTGGACTTCGAGAGACAACACGGAATTCGCACCAGAAAGAGAAAAAGAAGGAAGAAAAAGAAACTGGGATCAGAACCATCAATCCCTCTTCAATCCCTCTCTAACCACAAAATCAACAACCCAAAAAAAGAAGAAGAAGAAAAGCTAACAATCACTTCACCAGAATGTACCAAAGCATGCACAGCGCCTGCGAACTCCTCCGCACAATGGACACCCCCGGAACCAAAGACGCGGGACGCTTATACCGCATCGCCATGGAGAAGAAAGGGATCTTCGGACATGGCGGCGTCCCCATCGAATACGCACGAGCACAAACCGATACACCCGCAAAGGAGGCCTGGAATCACGGCTGGACACGATAGTAGTCCACTTGAAAGAAATACGAGAGTTGATTCATTTTTATCTTTGTAAAAAGGTTGTTACGGCCAGAGGATTGTACAACAATTGTGTAATCGATGTCGATACGAAGATCAAGAAATAACTCCTCAGATGCAAAGAAACGCAGATGCAACTCCAAGATATTCAATGGGCATGGTGCTTGCAAATATGTATATTATGTACAAGAGTCTCCTTCCATTATACCAAACGCTGTCATTCGCAAGTATTGTAGCAGCAGCAAATTTCATTTCCTTCCGCAAGCTGGGTATGTGGTGAGTTGTATTAAAAATAAAAAAGACCGCGATAAAAAGGAGTGTGTGAACCAAGTCGTGATCAATCATTAGAACGGCTCTATCTTACCATCGAAAGAACTCAAAGTATGACATAAACAATTAGCTTTGAAAAGACTTTTGATGTGCAAGCGCTGTTGCCAAATATTCCCTCCCGTGTGACAAATTGACATCCTCCACTATTCGCTATTATTGAAGAGACTCCATATGGCCTTTTATTCTTCCGAGCGAGCCAGACTTCTTTTTTTTCGTAAAATGTAAATCGAAGGTGATGATGGGTTCGTTTTCCCCCGCGCATTAGAAAGTTTAGGTCGAATTGTTGCTGGTCCCGAGAATTGTCCTTTGCCAACCCATGTCTCTATTTTCACCACCGAACTCCGTAACCATTACCCTACAATATAACACAGCATCCACCTCCCTCGCCTTTCTCGAACGTGAGTAAGGCAGCTCTCGTAGCGGCCTCGAAAACGTCGTCGACTCCTTCACCAGTTAACGATGAACATTCCAGATATTTTCGTGCTCCAATATCGTGCGCAATATCACTAGCCTCTTTGGTGCCCACAAAGTGTTGTGATCGTTTGCGAATTTCTTCAATTGCGACCGGATCTTCTCGTAAATCTTTCTTCAGACCGACCAGGATAATGGGAACACCGGGACATCGCTCATTGGCCTCTTCAACCCACTTGGAAATTATCAGCATGTGAAACATATAAGCCATCAAGTGAAATCCAAGCTTACTTTGTGCTTGACGTTATCCAAGGAATCTGGTGTATCGATTGAAAAGCCTATCAGAATGACATGTGCTTTTGAGTATGCTAACGGCCGTAATCTCTCGTAATCCTCTTGTCCTGCTGTATCCCACAGAGCCAACTGTACGCTCTTTCCATCCACTCTACAATCGGTCACATAATTCTCGAAGACTGTTGGTACCTAGAAAATCGGCATAAGTAGTGCGATGGGGCTTATAGAAGAGTGGACTAACATAGTGCTGTGAGAATAGTTAGCAGTGTAATCAATGGATGGATTAGGAAATGCTTACTGTAGGGAAATATCCAAGTGTGAAGACGCTGAGAAGGGAGGTTTTACCACAAGCACCATCTCCAATTATGACCAGCTTCCTACACAAACATTAGCAATTTTATGTGGGAATTTGCGGTCCAGCTGGGGTTGGGCGTGGAGAGGACTGCAGTTCGCATCTGACATGTGGGAAGACGACATTGATAGCCATTGATGAATATGCCAACCAAAGAATCGGCACATCATGGGCATTTCCGTCGCTTCCAAGATCTCTCCTGAGTGTCAATATGACCATACCCAGCCCCAAATTGTACCACCATCCCTTAACGTACCTTCGCATGACATTCTGAGCTTGTTGTTGGGCCATGATCGATGATATAGCGAGTGTTTAGAGGTTTTCGAGAAGGAGGCTTTATGGTAAGACCATGTACCTGTTCCAGACGAGGTACGAAAGATGTACCAAGGGGCTGGATAAGTTTGTCGAAAGATCTTCGAGAAGGAGAAGAAGGTAAGATTGTCGATACGGGCTCGGCGATTATGATGTGTCGACCCTCTTTTCCGGATAACGGGAGTTTCGGGGAGTTTTATGCTTTTCGGTTGTGAGTTGAGATGAGGAGTTGGGAGTGAATGGTTCTGGAGGTATAGGGCGCGTCGGAGCGTGACAGTCAGCGTATTTATCTCTCGTTCGCGCGAATATTAGTGGTATTGATTCCCCTGAGTTTAATCCTGGAAAGGATGTGGTTGTTGCATGTTAAGGTGGAGGAGGTGTGGAGGTATCTGCAGGACTCTTCTTGAATTTGAATGGGGGGAGGGACCCGTCAAGGCTCCAGGACCACTGGGCTGAGCACTGAGCCGTGCGGGCGAACGTGCTGGCCGCTTAATGGGGCTTAGATTGTCAGAGAGGATCGACTGCGGGAAGAAGATCATTGGCTGACGATGAGGCGGTTGAACCCGAGGACCAGAGTCCGTACGGAGGAATAGAGGAGAAGTAGATGATAGATGCAGGAGGATGTGGAGAGGGGGGTATGGGGGGTATGGGGGTACAGGCAGGAGGAATCCGCGGTGGTGATGGATGGTAAAGTTTGGAGTTGAGGTCTTGGGATGGGATTTCAATTGCCTATGACGTTCGATCTATAGCCAGATCACACATCACCCGTTTTTCCCAAGGCTACAAGTGCCTCTGGGTATAGGTACCTAGGTACCTACTACCAAGCCTAGTACCTACCTATACTACCAAGCCTAGCTACCTTAGGTTACCAGAAATTCAGACAGATACAGTACCGCAACTAATACTACCAAGTGGGTTGGTAGATATAACTGACGCAGGCGCGGCTGCAGAGTTAGCCAGCCAATGATGCGCCATAGCGAGCGGCTACGGAGTATTAGAAGGAAGGTTTGTGGTCGCAGCAGGTACGAGTACAACACAACCTCTGGCCTGGAAAAGCGGCAATGCCTACTCTACCGTAGGTACAGTAGGGACAGTAAGCCGTAGTGAGGGTAAACAGTAGGGGGGCAGGGACAATCTGTAGATGTATGTACAATAGGTTCCTACCTAGCCTCCGAGTGCCATAGAAGGGCTATCCATGCCGAGAAGAATAGTGGGAGCTGTCACCTGCCTTTACCCAAATCAGGTGGTGGAGTTTGCAAGAGACCTGGAAGTCGGCGCACCAAGACAATTTGCACAGACTACGACGACCTCGCGAGTCGCTACCTAGGCTCCGTACTCCGTACAATTGGAAAGTACAAAAGTACCTAGGTCATACGTGCCGAGGTCCGCCCTACAATACAAGACACCCAAAGTGAACCACACCAAAACTAATTCTCGACCCCCTCGACACTTCCACCACAACACCACAACAACAACAACACTTAATAGTTATTTAAATAGAGGAAAAGATGCGCCTGAATTAGCTGAATAAAATGTACTTACTAGCTTTTAATTAATTAATTTATATAAAATGTGGGGCTCACATTTGCAGAGTCTTGGCGTTTGGCTTAATTTTTTAGGCCGCCCCATTTTTCCTAATACGGCTTAACTAAAGACTATATAGAAATTCTAGTAAATGCATTCTTATTCTTTTAGTCTAATTAGTCTATTCCGATATTTTAAATATAGTTTATATCGCTAATCTAAAACCCTTTTCAACTAAGGTCGAAAGTCGAGTTTTAGGGTGGTTCACTTTGGGTGTCTTGTATTGTAGTTAGGCTGTCGATGAACTCATGAGCATTCAAGGGATTAATTTATACATACATACATACATCTATACATACATCTATACACTCGGTGATGATGTAATTATGTCAATGGCACATTGACAATGCTCTGTACAATTAGACGTTGAGGTGCCAGTAGGCTTGCTTCGTCCCAACACAGGCGTACAGTACAGGCGTATTAAGTACACGAGCAGGGAAATAGCTACAATCCGTCGCTTACAATCAGTCACTCTTGCCATGCGTCGCCGGTCTAGCGTGGCCCGACGGAGGTGCTGCTTTAATCAATTTAATCCCAATGTGTGTGCCTGAGACATGAGGCTCGTCTCCTTGACGAGCAGTAGAACTTCCATCAACACCATCAAGGTAACCAAAAACCACTCTTTCGACCCCTCGACCGCCAACACGAGCATCCGCGCACTAACCACGAGCATCTTTGGGCCCCATTCATTATTCCCATCCTACGACCCTCCGCGGTTTTCCATCTCTCGGCCTCCGCACCCCTTCGCAGAAGCAAACACTTTGGTGGGGCAACCTACCTCTGAATAGCTCAACTTCGCTGTGAGTCTCCGAATTCACCTACTCCCCTCATCTGGTCCGGTCTCGGATTCGTCGCAAATTTCCACCTAATACCAGCGTCGCGAATAGTTTCACCCTTCTATGCTCCCATCTGGAGAGCGCCTGTAATCGGAATGCCCGCAAATCGACGGCAACAGACGACCCAATCTCCCGCCTCGCCAACTTCCAAAGCCACTGCGAAGTACAAAAATAAAGATGGTTCCAAGTTCATAACTGTTCCAAAATCCTCCACCATCACCGATTCCTCCGAAAACTCTCCCGCCATGGCTCCACCAACGACGAAATCCAATGGACAAACACCCACTCCTCCCACGGATTCCAATAATGCCGCGCCGACCGTCAATCGCAAGAAGCAAAAGCGGAGGGAAAAGCAGGCTGCTAAACTTGCCGCAGAGCAACCATCAAAACCTCCGACAAATGGAGCGCAACCGCCTGACAATGCCGAGAGGGAAAGACAGGAATTGGAGGTGCATATGCGAGAGCAAGACTTGGATGATCAGTATAGTCAAAATGGACAATTCGATCCAGCTGATGATGGGTACTACGATAGTGGTGAGGAAGGTGACGGGTATGCTGGTTCGTATGGCAACGATGCTTCTTCTGGAAATGGAGTGGGATATCAGATGCCAAACTCGAATTCTTCTGGCAAGAAACAAAAGAAGAAAAAGAAGTCCGCTGCCTCTGACATGCCACATCATATTCACGCGCATACCCATACTCACACCATATCACATGCCCATCCAGGAACGAATGGCTTGTCGCACAACCACCTCCCACTTCCTCCATTAGCATCCACCAACATGCCTCGAGGACCAGGTATTTCAAAGGAGAAGATATGGAACACGTCTTCTCAGGAGGAACGCGAACGAATCAAGGAATTTTGGCTATCTCTCGGTGAGGACGAACGTAAATCACTGGTCAAGGTAGAGAAGGATGCTGTTTTAAAGAAGATGAAGGAGCAACAAAAACACTCCTGTAGTTGTACGGTTTGCGGACGTAAGCGCACCGCCATCGAAGAAGAACTCGAGGTTCTCTACGATGCATATTACGAGGAACTGGAGCAATATGCCCATCATCAAGGGGATGGTGTACCTCCCCCCATGATGCCTCCACCTCGTCGATTCGGCGCAGTGAGCGGACTCCAGCCGCCCCATCGACTACCGCCTACTTTCAATGGCCAACAGCCGTCGCGAGGAAGAATAGTCGAGCAGCTGGATGACGACGAAGGCGACGAGGATTATAGCGATGAAGGTGATGAAGAGGACCTGAGCGACGAGGACGAACCTGAAGAAATCCCTCGAAATACTCACGCAGCAGATTTTTTTAGTTTTGGCAATAGTCTTACCGTTCAAGGTGGTATTCTTACTGTTGCAGATGACTTACTGAAGAACGATGGTAAGAAATTTATCGAAATGATGGAACAACTTGCCGAACGTCGAATGGCGCGAGAAGAAGATGCGAAGGAACAGTATTCTAATCAAAACTATGGTCACCCTCCAAACGGCGCCATGCACTCCCACTCACATAGTCACAATCATCCACCTCAACCCGAAGATGAAGCAGACTATGACGAGGAGGATGAGGATGAGGAGGGAGACTATGACGATAGCCAAGACGAGGATTACGATGAAGAGGAGATGGTAGGTAACAGGTGGTGTGGTTGCGCGGCCTGTTCTAATTTCATACAGGACACGATGACGGAAGAGCAGCGAATGGAGGAAGGACGCCGAATGTTCCAGATATTTGCAGCTCGGATGTTTGAGCAACGAGTATTAACGGCATACAAGGAGAAAGTCGCAAAAGAACGTCAGCAAAAACTCCTTGAAGAACTTGAAGAAGAGAGTCGGGCAGACTCTCAGAAGAAAGCCAAGAAGGCCAAAGATGCTCAGAAGAAAAAGGACAAGTTAGCCCAGAAGAAACAGGCAATTGCTGAAGAAAAGGCGAGACGTGAGGCTGAAAAGGAAGCCGAAGAGGCAGCTAATCGTGCAGCCGAAGCGAAGAAAGCCGAAGAACAACGCGCCAAGGCCGAGGAGAAACGTAGGAAAAAGGAAGCTCAGAAGAAGGCCGAGGAAGAAGAGAGATTACGAAAGGAGGCAGAGAAGCAGCGTCGCTTGCAGGAGCAGAAAGAGCGACAAGCTGAGCTTGAGCGCAAGCAACGGGAAGCGAAGGAAAAAGAGCGGAAAGAGAAAGAGGAAGCACGCCAGAGAGAGCGAGAAGCCAAGGAATTGAAGGATCGAGAAGCCAAAGAGCGAAGAGAGAAACAGGAGAAAGATAAGCGAGAAAAGGAAGCAAAGGCGAAAGCCGACAAGGAGGCTAGAGAAAAGGCAAAGCGAGAAGAGCAGGCGGCTCAATTAGCCGCTACTCAAGCTGCTAATGCTGCAACCCAAGCTGCAAAACGTGCACAAGCGCCAGTACCTATCCCTGCAAGTCTTCAGACACACGCTGCACCTGTGGCTTCTCCTCACGTACCAGTTGCCACGCCTGCCATCCCTAAAGCACCTACCCCAATCAAGCTTCGAACAAGTTCCCAACAAGGCTCAAACTCGAATGGCTCTATTCCCCAAACTCCTCAGAGCAGTTCATTAAGCCAAAATGTCTCGCCGCTCCCAATAACCCCATTGCAAGGTAGCCCTGGTCACAATGGCCATCCCATCAAGAACCAATCTTCGCAGCATCCATTTTTACACCATCCTCAAGCTGCTTCACCAATGCATGCCACGCTGAAGAGCCCCCCAGGAATGCAACCTGTTCCTTTTGGCATGCCAATGGGTATGGGATTTCAGCCTGGGATGCCGATGATAGCACCTGGATTCGAGCGTATGCATCAAAGCCCTATGTTTCCTCATCAACAACCAATGCCTCCCTTTAGACCTCTCCCTGATCCAAATGGTATGCCAATACATCCAGGAATCAACATGCATCAAATTCCACAAGGCAGAGGGTTCCCCTTACCACATGGTCCTCCCGGATTTCCACAATTGCCTAATGGTATTGGTCTTGGTCAACCTTTTGGTATGAAGGAAGGCCCACCATCTCAAGCACACTCTAGACAACAATCAGCATCATATGATAAGCCTTTCGAAGGACCCGCACAGGCTCAACCAATTGCGAGACCAGCTCCAATCGGTCGCCCTTCAAGTGTGGTGCATGGATATCGAAGAGAAGCCGGAAGTAATGATGTGGATGACCTCAGTAACCATCTTGGTAGCAGCGCACTGCTTGACGATTCCGATGAACAGCCTCTTAATCCAGAATTTAACGGACGTCGCTCAAGCGGAGTAACGAATATGAATAACCGACCAAGCTTTGCACCAATACCTTTTGGGATGGATGGATCAGCATTTGCTAGCCCCATCGGTTCATATAATACTTGGGGCGCACCGCCAAACCCCTTTGGTCCTTCATCATTGCCTGGATCAACATACGGACTTGGTTGGGGTCATAATTCTTTAGGGCATAGTACTTTTGGTGGAGTTGGAAGTCCGCCAAATATTCGACCTTCACCACCACGGCCAATTGCCATACGCCTTTTGATCTGCCGTGCTTGCAAAAACATGGAGGGTACCACGCCTGACGGTTTTTACAGTCTCATTGCTCTCAAGGAGCAGATTGACCAGTACCCGGCTAGTGAGCATCCCATATCTGATCAGGAATTGTATGACATGTGCACCACCGAGGGCAACCCCCAAAACGGTGGCGGATCTTTTGAGATGCGCCAGGATGACAAGGGATGTTTTATCCGACACGTTGTCGAGAATGATAGCCCTACGTCTCACCGTCCAGTGGGTCCTCCTGGTGAGATTGGCAGCCCTATTGGTGGTGGTGATAGAATGTCTCGGTACTCAGGACCTCCACCTCCCCCTGGCTTTTAAAATTATTCCCCGTTGGTGTCCTTTTGGGCACTTTCTCTTCTTTGTATCATTGCATCGTAGTGTGGCTTTTCATACCCACCAGCCTGGCGCTATTGCTTCAAGTCTGCCTGCGTTTCTCGTCTTGGTGGATGGGATAGGTGGATGGAACCTACCGACTTTCTACAGAAATTAATCTGAGGGAAAGCAGAAAGGTTTGCATTGTATTAGCCAGCGAGCGTGGCGCTTATTTCAGTAAGTTATCTCTCTTACGGGAGGGATAAAAACTGGAAATAATAAGCATAATCAAAATATTTGATAGGATTCCTTTCTTGTGTTTTTTGTGATTCAGATGAAATGGTAATGTGTATATTATAAATGTGATATCATCTGGTTCTCCGGACAACTGCTCTGTGGCTCTGTGCTAGACAGTCTTCTGGTACAGATTATCGACTCACTAACCTTTCTGAGGTTCCTGTGTCCTCGTATCCTCGACGGGTGTCGCCTTCCCTTCCCTTTATCCCCGTTTGCGCACCCCTGGTCTGGCTTACTTGTGACACCATGTTTCGGCGCCGGTTCGTTGGTTCTTTACAAAGGGGGCAAACAGAAAGTCTTTTTTCTTTTGTTTACAAATAGAACAGCATTGTTTTTGGTTTGCTCAAAAGGTCGGCTTTGTGATTTTTATCTTGCGGGTTTTGATACGAAGGCTTCTTGGTTTGAATACTGTTTGCTTACTGGCTTTCGATACGTACGTGCTTAGCCATATTACTTTGTCACGAGCTTTTATCTTGGACTGGACGGAAAAGCAAACGCGGATACAGTACAGCATCGTCAGATATCGTTGGAATGTCAAAGGTGCCTCCGAGGAAGATGGTGGGTAGACTGTGTCGGAAAACTGGTTCTTCGACTACTACTCTATCCTCTACAACTTCAACTCCAACACACAAACTCAAACCCAAAACCTCCAACCCCAGCCTCATCTTTTCAACACCCTCTACTCCCACTACACCAACCCTCCGCCAAAAAGCCATCATCTGCGACACCTGCGTCAAACACATCGAAGAGCACGTCTGCGGCCACGGTCTCAAGATCCTACGACCCCTGGAGATGTGTAAGAGTCATGCGAATCTGCATCCGTATTTTGTGGATTATCGTGTGTGTGTGAGGGTTTTGCATCGGTTTTGTGGGGGGTGTGTGCAGGGGTTTGAGAGGGAGGGGAGGGGTGGGGTGGAGATTGAAGGGATGGTTGTGAGGATGGTGGAGAGGGTTTGGGATGGGTAGGGGGA